TTATGAAGCCATAGATTTTTCTCCGTTTATCCGTGATGGAATGCAAAAAACGTTAGGTAACGCCAATTGACCCACCCATCCCTGGTAAAAATTGGCAGTAGAATCTGTGTTCCAAAATACCATAAACCTAGAGCCGGTTGTAAGATTTCCCATAGCTTTCATAGCCGGCTACACATTTTCTTACAGCCTTTTATAGCCGATGGCGATTAAGCAATAGCCAGGCGATAAAGTGTACGCTAAACGTTACTAATTACGGATGCTAGAACTTAGTGAGTTTTTGGACTATGCTCTTTCTTCGGGCCGTAGTATCTTGATTTACTTCCAGGAAAGCTCTGTACTTTTGATGGATGCCTGCCATTCCTAATATATTAGAGCGCCTTCAGTTTCGTATGATACTGTGCAATACCTCTGGTGTGAAATAGTTGCTTCCAGCGCCGTGGCACGCTGCGGCACGGCAGGCGGGCAGCCAGCGCGAAACGCGAATTGGCGCCTACAAACCTAACAGGGATACTTCACGCGTTGCGCAATGCGTGAAGTATCCCTGTTAGGTTTGTAGGCGCCAGTGCGTCGCTGCTCCGCTTTGTGTTCGGCTCTAATATTTAATCTGGCGGAGTCAGCGTTATTCAACTCATGATTTTGAAATGTTCGCACATTCTGTATGGATTATTCTCATTTTAATTGATGAAAAAAAAAATGTATTAAAGGAAAATATAATGTGTGCTTTGTAAATATTATGGTGGTTCCGTATCAAACTTAATGATTTCCAAAGGACACGAATTTCTACACAATTTCTTATAGCCTTTTATAATCGATGGCGAAAAAGCAGCAGCCAGGCGACAAAGTGTAAAGCCCGGCTATAGGAACTATCGCATAATTTTTTATCGCTTCGTATAGTTCGGCCGTATGATTTTCTCCGCATTCTACAGCCAGCTATATGATTTTCTGTAGCCTTCTTTTGCTGGCTATAAGAATTCCTATGGTAAGTATTTTGAAACGTGGCTCTCATCGCCAATTTTAACCAGGGATCTTACTTATAGTGTCTCCGACGCAAGCTTATCTTCCCCGTGTAGAAAATACCCTGGTGCTGCCTGAAGCATAGGTAACTTTGATCAAAAAGCGTGCGGTGACTTGCATCCCTTCTTTAAGACGCGGGATACTTGGACGCGATGTTCGATGAAAAAGGAAACGGACCTTTCTCATTGGATTAACACTGCTGTCAAAAAGGAAAAGAATTTGTAAACGCACTGATTATTCTTTTAGCTATGCACGCTCTTGCTATTACGTGGACTATTGTGACGTCATAGCCTCTTTTTTTCTCCGCCCTGCAGACATCGCGACAATCCATCGGACCTTGAGACGATCTCGCCTGTTCGCTTAAACCATGGCCGTGTGAGTCGTAAGTATTCACGTTTTCCCACAGATTACATACTGCTCCGTTCCATCTTGTGGCCCGGGAAAACGGTTGCAGTCCTCAATGAGACTTCAACACTAGATAATAATAATAATAATAATATATAATAATAATAATATCTTTATTTGTTTTTTGGCTTGCACATGGCTTCTACAAATGCGTCGAATTTTTCTAAACAAGAAACAAGAATAAATATATGTATATAAAAAAAAAAAAAAAAAAAAAACGATAATGATACCTATCAACCTGTCCCATTTATAAAGTCGTGGATTGAATAGGGACATTGCTCAATTAGATAATAATTGCTCAAATAATAACGGTTAAAAAATTTGTTTGGAGGTACATAAAATGTGCTTCAAATGTGTATTGCAATATAGTTTTAATAAAGTTTTTTAGATTGCGTGTTTTGCAGTTTATTTTGTTTTTAGCATCAATATGACTGAGTTCTGGTACCTACTTAACGAAATTTTGATGCCAATTTTTTTTTCTTTATGTGACTCCATTTTCCTTATTCAAATGCACAAATTTCACTTTAAAAGAACGAAAAGAGCTCTATTCCTATCTTGCATTTCAACTGTTTGTTCGAGTTTTTTAAGTAAAACTAAAATTCAACTGTCGATGCTAAGCACTAGGAAGGCGATCACGCTCGTGATGTAGCGAGGGATTTGAGAGACGCACACTTCACAAAGATCAAAAGACAAGTAATAAAAAAGAGAAATTATGAGACTTGATTTCTACCAATTTTCCACGAAAGAAAAACGCTGCATGCTCTCCGCGCGCCTCCGAAAATCGTTCACATTCTGATCAATTTGCTGCTTAACTGAACAATTTCGAAAATTCAAAGAATTCCTAAAAAAATTTGGCAGCGTCCTGATCTCCCGTGCTAAGGAAGAGCGCCGTACGAACATTCGAGAGTCGCCGAATTTCCCTTGATAAAACATGTATTCTCAATGCAATTTAAGTTCCTTTTCCCTCGAAATTTTCAGATATTTTAGATCAAATTGCGTACATAATTGTCTGAAAATTTTGGAAAATAATATCGACGGTGAAACTACCAAACCACGTATCTCGTATGCGGTGTTTAAAAATCTACGCTCACATTTTATTTTTTAGAAGTAGACCAAATCAATATCATTTCTTGAAATTTTCACGGAATTTTCTCCGAACAAAGAGGAAAAATCACAGAAATTTTCAAGACTGGATGTTCAGTAGTTTTTCATTTAAAAAATAAAGTATGACAGGAAGTCTGCGACGTCGCAAACCGAGATACGTGGTTTGGTAGTTTCACCGTCGATATGCACGATTTTCCCAGTAAATTCGGTTTTTATAGCGGGACATTTGGCAACGTTTGAAGGCTCATACGACGTCATCCTTCCTTAGCACGGCATGGCAGTAATCTTCACTTCGAATGTCTCGAATTTCTCAGAACGTGTCCTCAAGTCACATTCACGTCAATACGAGGCGTCAGTTTAATAACACCATTAGCCAAAATTGCTCAGTACGACACACTTTCAGCAGTCTTCCAAGTTTTATCGAATACCTCCGAATGCAATTTACTATGTATCTAATCATCCCATTTTCTCTCCTCCAAATAGCAGATTATTCTCTGTTCGCCTTGATAGTGAGAGAAGGTTGATTATAGGCCGGGGCACTTAAATTAATAACGCGAGGCATTTTTCCCGATTTTCATACCCCTTCCCTCACGTTAGAAGCCTGTTGGGCTCCAATCCTGAAAAGTTACGTCAGGCTGAGTCTATCTCATCAAACTTTGAGAAACTGTGACTGAGCGAACGAGAAAATTGATAATTGGCAATTTTTCACATATCTAGCTCTTTTCCTTTTCACCGGGGGGATTTGATTTTCTAAATACTTAAGTCGCGTGATTTTGTCTAAAGTCAGATAAGTTTGACTCCCCCTTCGTACACATCCAACAGATAAGTACCTCTACATCCTTCCACTCAGGTGCCTGACGCAATTTATGGGCGGCCCTTTTAAATGAGAGCGAAAAGTCTCGAGCCGTTATTTGTTCATTCAATTTTGTTGCTGAGAGAGATGGGCAATATAAATCAGGGAACCATAAAGAAATGACACCTGTAGTATTCCGAAATTAATGCAGTAAGTTGGTTTGGTGAAAAAAAGGGGGAGGGAGGAATTATTTGATTGAGGAATTATTTGATTTGTCGGCCTCCTATGGTGTAGTGGTGGTAGCGCTTGCTCTATAATCGGGAGGTCCCGGGTTCGATTCCCGGCCAGGCGACCCGAGTTTGATGGTCTCAAACAATGGTTGCCTGGGACTGGTTCAGTAGGGACTGAGGGGGGATGGGACTTAAAGCGTGGGATTAGCCCTCGAGGGCTATTTGAAGTAGTAAAAAAAAAAAAAAAAAAAAAAAAAAAAAAACAAAACCAATCTTGGCCAAGTAGGGGCTCTGCAGTACGCAAGTTCAAGTTGTTCTTGCCCCCCCCCCTTCCTTTTTATTCCCTTGCACTGATTTAGAGTAGGTGAAAAATCCAGGTAAAAATAAGAGGATGGAATGACTGAGTTGATTATTATAATACTCGAAAAGTTAAGGAAAACAATGAGTGTCCGCAAAAAATAGGGAAAAAAAAAACATTAAATCACAAAAAAAAGGCATGTCACAATTAATATGAGAATGTAACATAAAAATGTTAAGGACCTAAAAATATAATAAATTTCAATATAAAAATATTTATGTTAATTATGTAGATACTTAAAATGAAAAACATTCAGTTAAAAATAAAATTCTGAGGAGATACAAATAAAACGTTTAAAAAGGAACAGAAATTTATGGTCACTTCAGTCAATTTTGCACATCACTTTTTAATACTTCAAGCCTCTGCAAGACTTTTTTGGTACCTGTGTACTTCTTTGTGCATTGTTTCTCATCAACTTCCCTCATCAATACAAGCAGAAAAAGGAATATAGGTATTGTAGATTCCCTCCCTAAAATTCGCTGAAAAGTGTTTGAAAGTTGAAACTGTTGACTTTATCCATGGTTGAAACTTGTCAGGTCTTTAATAAACTGCCTTGAGGACTGTCTTGCAATGCGCAATTTACACAGCTTAAGAACTGTGGTAGGTTTCCAATTTGCTTCTACCGTTGCAGAGCAAGACATGAAGTTGATTTTGTGAGCAGGTTATCAACTAAGGAAGCCTTGCTACTTTGCAGGGACCATTGAAATATGCGAAATTTTCCTCTGCCACTTGCATGACCATCCCTTCCTTTCAGGACATAAAAACAATTTTGGTATGATTACAATTCAAGTCTTCCTTGTATTGATCGACACAGTCCTATAATGGAACCTGGAAATCTCGAATATTTCTCCAAGTTGATGGTTTACTATGCTCATCGATTTCATTCAGGATGCAGAAGACCATCCTTGAGGCAATCAGATGGGCTCGTAAGGACTTCTATCATTCTATAATCCCTTTGACACTCATAAATTTTATTTGCACCTACATTTCCTATCCCTGTTTCACATGGAGATGGTGCACTGCTGATTAAGCAATGACATGACTCAGAAAGGACAGTCGAACAAGTAACTACATTACTGATATGAAAGGTACTTACATATTTCCCCATCGTGATCATCCAGTGATTTTGGAAGCTCTGGACTAAGTTTCATCGTCCCGCGGTTGAACTTGAATTGAGGCTCGTCAATCGCATCATCCATTCTGCTGGGGTATTAAGTAGTTCACAACACTTAACCACAGAACATTTAATTCATAAGATATTGCTCAGCCAACTTCTCGAGTTGAGAATCATGACGGCACACACAAAGATCATGACACTTCCTTTCTACTAGTCCAGAGAGGACCTTATTCCATCGAGTTTTGACATGTTCGCAGAGAAGCGATCAAAAGATTTGGGGGTGCGGAAGAAGGTAACTACGATGGAATGCAATCCCCAATTTGCTCCCCGAAAAAGTTTCAATCGACCGCAACGAAAATGCAATGAACTCACCAACACTCAGTGTGATAAAGGACGCACGGATAACGCAGAATGAATCACGGAACAAAGAGAGAGATGTTGATTATGAGACACACTGTCACGCAGATTACTGGCGTCACACGCACCGCACTGAACACAGATCACACGAAATAAATTATTATTTAATCACTCTGACGGAAGTTCCTACTGACGTTGGCCGTTCAATCACGATTTAGTAGCTACGACAGATGACTGTGCAGACAGACGAAACAACGACTGACAATCCTATTCAAAACAAAGCGAAAGTTCAAAGTAGACGGAACGAAAACAATGACGCTAGCGCTCCATGCGGACAAACTAAGTAGCTTTTATGAAAACAAAAGGGAAAAGCTCAAAGTTGAATCTTTCCGACTGGCGACTTGGACGGTCAACCGTTGGAATTCGGCGATTTACCCCGAATCTCCACCGCGGCGGTGCATGTTCGGGGATCGAGCACCTCAACGTTTTCATGTAAACAACTAAGATGGCGGCGCATATTGCGCGGGTGTTTTGAATTTATGGATCGCGGGCAAGATTCACACTTTAGGCGGACTTGAAGCAACCACGTACTAAAGTAAAATTTACATTTAAATATTTTTATCAAGTTAATATTAATTCCTGATAGTCGAATGAAGGAAGTTTACTCCCGTTAAGACAAAAGCTGCAATGTCGCCGTTTATCAATGCATTCTAGGAGAGAAAAAGTAGCAGCCAGAAGAATGAGTCTTGAGCGACCATCCTCAGCATTCATTCCTTCTTTTCAGAGATTTTTTGTCATCACTTATCAGGGATGTAAAATGAAATCTAACATGATATGAAAGTACACAGATTTCTTAGGAGGAGTGTACACCACCCATAAAATTATCTTATAATAAAATTCAGAGTTTGACTCTTATTTTGTTAAATATTGAGATTTTCTGATTCTACGCATTTCACGGCCTACTGAGCCTATTGCAGAAGTTATACTTTCATGAAATTTTACCTTATATGAAATTACATGCAATTTTGCATCTCTGTTCATTATGGAACCCATTCAGCAGGCTATCAAGACTGAGGCTGCTTGAAAAATGTAAATGGTACTAGCAAGAAAGGGGTTGGGCCTCTAGGAGGAACATATTTTTTCAAATTAAAATTTATCATGAGGGTGAAAATTCTCACACATCAGGCAAATAGGGATTGTCCCCTCCCCCTTATTCAGAGAGAGTACTAACATTTTTCTTGGACAATTTTGGTCAATTTCACTGTGAAGTGTGTCAGCAGCGCCCAACTCCCTCCCCGCAGGCACAAGACCTCTCCAGTTAGATTTCCCGGGTCCAGCTGAAATGGCACAGCTACATTTAATCATTCAATCTAATCTTTCAAATCTACGTTAAGTCGTACGTTTATGGTAGACTTCAGATTTCGATACTTGTCTGTTACGCATTTGCAAACATTTGTTTTTTTTTGTAACTGTCTTCAAAACACCAGCGTCATTGTCCGGTGGATTTTCCATCAGAGTCTACACACTTAGACTCATCACTGACCAATTTCTCTGGAATATCTAGCATGAATGGTTAAAATGTAGATTTCACTTTGCAGATAAAGTAGCTGAGGGCCCGAAAAAAAGTTTTCACTTATATTGACTTCTTTAAAGACCTTAAAGACCTTTCTGACCTTAAAAGAAGCATGTGGACTTTAGGTCTGGCTGTGTTATGAGAGGCTGCACAACAGAATCAAATTATTCTCTTGAGATAAATTCCTTACCTCTGAACTAGAAAAGCCATTGATTCAGCTTTGTTCTGACCCCAACACAAATAAAACAATCAGCCCAACAGGCAGCAAGCGTCAAGAGATATTTATGCATTTATCCTCTCAGTTATTTGCACTTGGTCTGGAAATTACTGAAATAATGGTTTATACTGCTGAGAGCAATGGAATTTGTTGGATGTTCGACGTCTTTCGCAAATATTGACACATTACGGCAAGAGGCCGGTGTTACCTTTGATGCATCAACGAAGAGGTATCACAAACAACTTCGAAGTTAAAAGTTACAAAATCAAGCAGCGCTACTACATTTAAATTTGAGAATACTAGATATTCATACCAATTAGGTAACCAGAGACGTTTGGAGACTTTTATACGTAAATTCCGGTGGAAAACCCACTCCATGAAGACATTGGTACAATGTACAAGTGGAGTGAAACAGTTGCAAAAAGTAAACAAATACTTACGTTCGCGTAACGGTGAGCTTAGCTTATTGAGGCTAAAATGGAACGACTGAAACGATTAAATTAATTTTGAATTATTATACTATAATCGATCAGCACACGATGCTTGGGCATGCGATCGGTAGGCTTGGTTTCGTAAACAAATATGGCGGCGGTCCGTCACAACGTTGAGAGTGCCGAACCCCCGAAAACGCACCGCCGCGGTGGAGATTCGGGGTAAATCGCCGAATTCCAACGGTTGACCGTCCAAGTCGCCAGTCGGCAAAACCCCTCAAAGTTCTTAAACCTAACCTCCAATCTGCGCATAGTGGAAAATTGCCTTGAAGCCGCTTGTACAGTGTACTTGAAATTGAAGTAGGATTTAGAAATGGACAAGTGTAATTAAAATGGTACATTTAATATTGAAGGAACTATTGTAAGTGTTTATTAAGCTCAACCAGCCAAAATGTTGAACAGTTTCTCAAACCTCATCTTTAAAACTTTGAATCCCCTGAGCTCTGCTGCCAGGTATGTTACAATCCTCCAAATCATAAATAGGTAGTAACGGGTCCATTGCCCTTAGAGGAGTGTATTTTTCTGTTTACCCGTACCAAAGCTTACTGATCTAGCCTAAACCTACTCTTACCAATACTTTCTCATCCATTGTAGATTCCTTACTTGGACCTCCGTCAATGGTACAGAAAATTCTTTAGAGCATCAATTACTTGGTTGTTACCAATAATATATAGACGGAGTGCTCGTATCTAAAAGCCCGAAGAAAAAGTGAATCCAGGTTTGGCGCTGGACGTTTGTGTGAGTGTGTAAATGAGCACGGTAATCCATGGGTGGGAAACGGAAATTTGATTTGAACTTGTTCTTGTCAATTCGCCCGTGGGCTTAGTTGCAGAGCTGCATGCTCAATCGACCTCGGAGAGATAGCGAGTTAATAGCGTGACGCCTTGCCAGCAGAGCTGGATTCGGCAGCGTATGACTCGAGAGTCTGATGACCCGCTAAGTAGGTCTGTGAGGGCATTGACCCTCCATGTAATTCGAGTGTCTCAATTGAGAATCTCATTGATCAAATAATCGCAGGATTACCGAGAGAGTGAGAAGGATCTTTCTTTTTCCTTTCCATCTGATCGTCGAAAAGACTCTGCTATGCCTCATTCGATCTAAAATCCAATTCTTCTGGTAATACGTAAGTCACAACATTATTTTTATTTCAGATCAGCAAATGTCAGATGTATGTCCAGATATGGTCCGCAGTTCATTGACCCCGTAGTCGATCCGCAAGAACAGAAAAAAATCAGAGAGAGTGGAGACTTGCAGACCTACCTGTTCAGACCAATCAAGTCAGCACCGGGCAATTACACATGCTCACATTATTTTGACCCAGAAGTTGCGTAAGTACTGATTTCACAGACTTAGCAGCAACTTATTATTTTTAACAGTAATAAGATCCACATGCCGCAGAGCCAGAACCTGCTCCTACTAGGAATTTATTTTGAAGGGAGCTTACAGCTTACGATGGAAGATCATTATCTTCCATGTCGCCAATGTCACACGGATACAGAAAGTTCTGTGCCTTTCCATTTTTCGATCAGCCTTCTCATGTAAATACTTATTTTTCCTCAAAAATTTCCAATTGATGACCTTGTTATGGTTATGCAACTAAAAACTGTTTCAATCTTGCAGAAAAACACCCAATTTTCACAGCCATCTCATTTTTCAAACCCGCTTTCAGAACCTTCCTTTATATGCATGTCAAGAAGTTATTGCACCATGCACTGTCACAGCGGTAACTTTTCAGAATTGTATGAAGCAAATCAACAACTTTCTTGTGACAGAGCTTATGTATGAAAAACTCCAGTAACCTCCATTGAGTGACACATAAATAAAAAGAAAACTTGCAATGCAATTCATTTTGAAACGAGCACTCATTCAAAAACATTTTGACCCGCATTCCAAAATTCCTGCTCCATAAGATTAAAATGTTAAATATTTTACCTTAGGCCATGCTGAACAAATGAGTTGGTGTAACCAATTCTTTTATTGCTTTATTTGATAGTGCTAACAGGACTAAGTACAGAGTTTTTTATATTTTCTTTTCTAAACTGCATTTCTCAGCAAAATACGTTCGAAAATCGGCAGAAATGAGATGACAAAAACTCGCCATCAATTTTGCAAAATAACTGTTGCATCTCCACATCTAGTCGGTGACTAATTCTGCTTGCAGCCTGTTTTCACTTTACCTTGAAAGGATGTTGATCTCGCGAGGGATGAGGGTTGAAAGAAGATGTGTCCATTACTGCTTTGTTTCAATATTTTTGAATTTGCTCAATGATTCCCGATACTATTACATACCACACCACAGAAGGAAATTGAAAGATTGTTTGCATCATGTGTTCTTGCTTGTTTACTACATAATTCCTTACCAAAATATATAATTTTTGAAAATAGGTCCTGAAAATATAGCTCCGTCAAAAATTATTTTTGCCCTACACAGTAAATCAAGCATAACCTCTCTGTCGGAAATAATTTCTCAGGAAATCCAAGTAGCCCATCTTCCATTCCAACCTGAAATCTTATGGAAATAACTTTTGACAAGTGAATCCTCTACCAAGCCAAGCTAACTCATAGGGAACAATTTGTATCCCTTATGAAGAATCCGCTTTTTCATTTAATCCATATTAACAAGTCCCAAGGTATCAAATTTGCTGATGAAAATGTAAGTGCTTCTGTGCTTCTCAAAGCCTACTCTTCTAAGGCCCCTAAGAAAATAGGACCCTCCAGAAAAAAGTTTCTTCTAGACATGATTTGACGTATGTCTGATCAATTTGCTATCATGTCTGTTGTCCCCTATCTGGGGGGGGGGGGGGAGTTCAACTCTTATCTCACACACCCTTCCAATTTTTTGGTTCCTATTCCTGAGTGAACTGTGTGAGTTCTTTGCATTAAAGGCCAGGTCTCCTACTCAGTCTTTAAAGATGACCTACTACTCATAACTCATAACCATTGTTTTGCGATTTTCATCCATCTCTGTTATTTTGCAGGAAATTCACAAATATATTGATGAGTGGTGGAAGGAAGGCGCTCTGCAGAGAATTAATGGATAAAGTGAGTTTTTATTTTCATCCCTGTTTTTAACTCCTCCCATAAGGATATTGGGAAGTTCAAGAATTGCCTGAAAAGAGGTGTCCTTTCATTAAATTTTTACAAGAAACACTTTTCAGAGCTTGGAAGAGCTCTAAATAGCTTCTTTGACTGAAAAAAAAGGAAGCTTAAACTCGTAGTGCTGAAAAGAGTATTCCTCATTTGCCTGGAGCCTCAGAGGTCATATGCAGCAACGACTCATGCTTTCAACCACCTTGAATCCATTAGAACGCTGCTGCTGTACAATTCAGATCGCTAACCGACAATTTCTTTTGAAAAAAAAATAAAAACAAAAATATTTACTTTCAACAGCAATAATATGTATTGCAAGCAGGGTCGGGACATACAGCCTCTCATTTCAATTACTGTCTAAAAGAAAATACATCACAGTAGGTAAAAGGATACACAGTGCTCAGTTCTTCTTGTGAGGTGATGTTTTGCCGTGTGAGACAAGTTTGAATTTTTTGCCACTCAGGAAGTCTTTTTCAACTAACTTTTAATAAGAAGAAAGTTTTAAATAAGCATGAATTCGCATTTTTACGTACCTACCTTCCAAAATGGGGAAAAAAAGAGAAAAAAAGTGCAACAGTTCCATTTTGGAAGAAGGTGGTTCTGTGGAGACTTTTCGAAGAGATCTAAGGTTTTTTTTTATGAGCTCAATGCATGAATAATTTGCTTTTTACAGAGTGTTAACAGTTAAATTTTGAAAAAATAAATTCCAACCCAGTTAGATTGTCAGATAATTCTAGGTGTACCTGTGTATTGACTATGCAATTTGCTATTTTTTTTTATTATTTTAACTTGCTTCTTGATGGATCTTCTCAGTCGTTTTCTCTCTTGCTTAATGTTCAACTTTTTTCAACGTCTTTAAAAAATTTCTGTTTGTTTGTACAGACTTTTGAACAGATCAAGCGAAATCAAATAGAGCGCTTCAACAACGCTGAAACAGATGAGGAGCGAAATGCGATAATATTCGATCCTCTCATCATTTTCCATAAAGCCATTGAAAACGCCAAACCTATCATGAAGTTACTTAAAATTAAACGTGGTGGACAAACTTATCAGGTTTGTCTAAGTTTTCATTTTCTTTAATGCTGAATCATATCAGTATTTCTTAAGGCAACGCACATTTTCAAAGTGAGAAAGTTTAAGTCTCATTTATGACCGGATCAATGCAAAGAGACTTCATATACCGATAGAAAATTTTGCTTAACTTTTTTCAATTGCCCATAGGAAGAAAATGTGGCACAAATTCAATCCTTGAAGTTCAAAAATTGAAGGAGTTAAAGGTCTTGGAGTTCCAAGACTAAAATTCTTGGGTTGTAGAATAGAGTCGTCTCGGCTTTTGCAAAAGGTTAAGGAAAATTTTCTCTCGGGAGATAAGGCCCCTTATCATAGATCCATTCACTTTTGGATACTACCAAGAATGTGATATTTTTATTATTTTCTTGCCAAAAATGGTTATTTTAATTTTTATTTATTTCTAACTTGCAATGGAGTCTATTTTAAGCAAGAAAAATCTCTTCCGTAAGCAGGGCTGCAATAAATTTCTGAGCATGCGCCTGGGCAGGTAAGTAAAAATAAAGAAGAAGGGGGAAAAAGGGAGTCAAAATTCAAGTGCAAGAAGAAACAAGAAGAAAGACAAGAAGATGACTATTTCTTTCAAGAAGAAATAGTCATCTTGTTTGAAATTTGTAAAAAAATTTGTGTTAAGTAGTTGAGGAAAATGTGGAAAGCCAGCGGGCAGGCATGTGAAAAAGTAGAAGCGTGGAAGATTCCGCACTGTAGTCTGCAGGAATAATCATCTATTGGTATCATATATGTTATATATTTGTATATATATTATGGATGGCTTTGCAACTGCAAATCACCCTTTGGTGAATACCCCAAGCTTTGAGTTAATTTCTCAGCTTTTTTTTCTTTTATATCACTGTAATTGTATTCTATCAAATAACTTTCAAATTAATTCTTGGAATATTGCTCAGGTACCATATCCAATCACAGAAAATGAGAAAAGGTTCAGAGCCATCAAATGGCTCATAGAGGCTGGAAATGACAAGCCAAATCCTATCCACTTCCCGCAAAGAATGGCCATCGAGTTCATAGATGCAGCCAATAATAAGGTAACAATATGCATTCCTCATATCCCGTGGTGAGGTGTGAATGATCGATTATTATTGATATTTCCCCCTTTGAAGCTGTGGTAAAGAATCGATTATTGACTTGTTTGTTGTGTGTGTCAATCTTTTTTCATCAGTTTAAAGAGCAGATCAATTGATGCATCGCCAAGCATTTCACAGCATTCAGTGGCTTTAGTTTTAAATGCCTTCTGTTCAAATGTGGATCAACCCTGGTGATTGACACTGAAATCTTTAAGAAAACAATGTATTTGTGAAAAATAATATTTCATCGTAATTGATATTTGAAATCTGTTTATTCTAGAATTCAGTCCATAATTTGTTCCTAGCCACAGTACTTTCTCCCTATAACGAGAACTCAAGGGACCGGCCGATTTCCTCGGTATAGAGAGATTCTCGTTATAACGATAGTCGATATTTAATATAGGAAGTTCAAGGGACCGACCGATTTCCTCATTACAGAGAGATTCTCGCTATAACGATAGTCGTTATAGAGAGAAAGTACTATATTTCAAAACAAAATTGAGAGGGAGAGAGGTTAGACGGAGAAAGTGCATTAGAAATGTTTTGCTGGGGTCTCATGTTTTGGACACCACTATTTCTGATTTTATTTGAGACCAGCGGGTGACTGAAACCACGTGGATCCCATCTAGTCACCTCTGCATTTAAACATTGTTATTGGCAAAACAATTACAAGATTACTGGAGATGGGAATGCAGGCTAAATTCTACTGACTCGAAGTGATGCAAAACATTTGAAAGCCCGGTATAACAGCAAATCCAAGGAAACGCCCAAGGGGCAACGTTAATTTATTTAAATGGATTAATTACTACAGAGAATTAGTAGCCGCCATTATTCGTCTGTTAGGGTGTAAAGGCCTGGATAAACGCTCAAATTTCAATAAACATCCGATCAAATGGTGACCGGTGCGCACCATCTACCATCAATTTTTACAGCCTGCAAAAATTTGATGGTAGATGATGGAACATTGGATCTCATCCGTCATTTGATTTCCACACAACCGTGCTTTTTTCATGCTTATTTCAATCAACACACTGTTTTAATTAATTTCAGATAACAATTTAGAGAACTCTTGACCACCATTTCTGTCATCATTTTGCTCGGAAATTGACGGAAATTTGAGCGAGTATCCAGGCCTTAAATTTAAAATGTCTGCAAAATAATTTCCAGGATCTGCGGTTTCTTAAAAAAATTTCAGGGCTTTAATATACAGATCAAAATTAAACTTTTTTTGGAAAAGCCCCCTTATATAGTTAAAGCCCTTTCAAAATGTACTATTCATGTACCTGCATAGTGTAAGAGTGGCTGGCCCTGTGATAGGAATTGGGACTGGAGCAAAGAATGCGGTGTGTGTGCTGAATGTGAGCGTGGTTGGGTCCTTGGTCCTTCTTGTATTCCCTGGAGTCAATTTGTTCTTTTTCTGAATAGAAGGAAGCACATATCTCTTAATAGTGCATATACAGAGATAAAAATCCTTTAAGTTCAGAACTTATGGGTGGTTTCTTGATAACTGGAATAGTTTCGTCGCAGTAACAGACAACACACTTTTCGGTCATATTCTTGGTAGAAATGATAATCACTCAAATTTTTTCGCATTAATCTTAAAAGGATTTCTTATTTTAACGCTTTTTAATGATTTTTTGCTCTACTTCTCAATTAATATTATGTAAATTCAAAAACTGTGCTGTCTGTTATGCGGTAAAAAGTCAGCGTAATAAACAGCACATTTTCGGCCATTTAGGTATTAAAATTGAAAATTAGAGCGATAAATCTTTGAAAATCGTTATAACACGTAACCTTGTGTAGATTAATGCACAAAAATTCGAGTGATTATCATTACTACTAAAAATATAACCCAAAAATGTGTTGTCTGTTACTGCGACAAAACTATTCCAGTTATCGTGAAACCACCCCTACGCAAGTTTTGGAAACATAAGGATGAGTCTTATTTTTACTCTTACATGTTGTTATGCTTATTTTCTAGGGTTCAGCTGTGAAACGGAAAACAGAGCTCCATCGGCAGTGTGAAGCTAATAGAGCTTACGCCCACTATAGATGGGCATAATCAATACAATGCAGATTGTTGTGCTATTATTTCTCAGTTTTAAGATGCCTTTGTACATTATTTGTTTTTCATGATTAAATCGTTAAACTTCCTATCTGTGTTACTTCATCAAATTTTTCCCCACTTATTGTTAGGTAATTGTCAGAAAAAATAATGTAGTATCATTAAAAACATCCAAAACATTAGAATTTAAATTTTTAATCTGTCTAGTGCCATTCCTAATAATTTTTTTCAACTGAAATACAATTTTACTTCTCATAAATTGTATTGAAAGCCATGAACATATTTTCCTTGTATGATTTAATATCAGCATTATTTAAACACTCTGTGCTTAATAGTTTTTTGTGCACGAAAAAAGAGCGCTGTTTCAGCGTACTTTAATGTCGGTTTAATACCTTCAAATTTCCGAGTCCCCTTTCAAAGATATCATCCCTACGATCTAACTATAGATTATTAGTTTTGTGTAAATATCTTTGAAATGTGTCTGTCCATGGAAAAAGAGATGTTAGTCACGGGTGGCAAAATTTACAGCAGATCGATTTTTCTCAAGTTTGATTTTGAGCTTTTGACGGAAAACTCTGTGATGTCCTAAACTAAAGGATGAGTTGCAAACTGGTCAATTTTTTTATGTTCTGATGAAGGATGTAAGAATACATTTTGATCCAACCATTTACAGCATCATGACGCCGACGCAGAGTAACAAGGCAGATAAGAGTTTTGAATAGCTTTTGCTTGAAGCTGCGTTTTTTTATCTGGAAACTCCGGATATACTCATAACTTCAATTAGGTTTCACATTTTTTGTCGTTTTTTTTGCTCGTATAATACTCCTTTATAATTTAGCATTACTACCAATGCAACAAAATTTCGATTTTTTTTTTTTTTTAAAATCCTAACTCCCTGTTCCCATGAACCTCCATTGGCCATAGTTAACTTTGGCCGAATTAAGAGGTTTCATACAATATGCCTGCTAAGATCTTCGGAGATTTAACTGATAAAAATGACCGACTGGCGAAGGTGGCATATAATGCAAATGATTTTCTTGAGCTTTCAAAATTGCCCATCTGGGCGGTTCTAAACTAGATTTCACTTTTTACATAAAATTAGAATTTGAAATTTCGCGCAACTTTTTAAGAATCCAGAAAACCATGTGTTGCATAAAAGCAAGTGATATTTTTTCACTCCATTACGGTTTCATGCAATGCATTTTCTTTTCTTTTTTTTGCAAAGAATGTTAAATTAAATTCCGACAGTTAAAGCTTTCTTTACACATGGGAAAAAATTCACGTAAATCATTACCAAAGATCAATTTCTCAAGTTATGCTCCGACTGGACATTCTCGGTTTCCTTCATTTCCTTCTTGGCATCATTGAGCCAACACAAAGACATAAAGACGGAGTGCTCGTATCTAAAAGCACGGGGAAAAAGTGAAGCTAGGTTCGGCGCTGCGCGTTTGTGTGAGTGTGTAAATGAGCGCGGGAATCCATGGCGGCAAACGGAAATTTGATTTGAACTTGTCCTCTTGATTTTTCCTTATTTCTTCTTCGAAACGTGTTTTAAATGCTTAAAACGATTATATTAAGAAAGTTCGGTCTGCGTCCTAATATATTACACCTACTTTTGCTCGGTAACAGGCAGTAATCTCAGATAAAGTTAGTTTTTCTTCTGCTTATGGTGGTTCTGCAGGTTCAAACAGGCCGTTACAGTTCTAGATCTACGTTACTCCCAAATGAAATCAGTCGGTCGACGACGGACCGAAACTAACCTAAAGTTAATGAAATATGAGTGTGTACCTGAATTTGGGCAAAAATCAACCTAAAATACTTTGTTTCCGCAATTTTATTTATTAGTTCCCGCCCTACATTTGAATTCAAACTTGTCCCGATTTCGCCGCCAATCCTTTAGCCAATAGTAGAGGTGATTGAAAAGAAGCTCTAGAAGCTTCATTTTTTGCTTTTAGTGCTCCGTCTTTATGTCTTTGAGCCAAAGACATAGGGTGCGTTCTAGAATTCATCCTTGGATTGAATCCAAAAAACGGAGACGAACGGAGATGACGTAGGTCATGACGACACGGATGGAGTCGGATGGATCGGCAAACACAGAATCCCAGAGAACNTCACTCAGATTTTTTGGAAAAAATAACCCTGCGATGCCCTACGCGGCATTTATAAATATGATCAAGGCGTTAAAATATTTTCACCGCGAGGGCGCGAACCGTGATCGATCGGGTCATGGGGCGAGTGCCTTACCGCTTAGCTACGCCGATTGACATGGAGATGTCGAATTTGCCAGTACATAAGGCAAATAAAGTTCTTTCTTTCTCCACTAGAGCTGAGAGTAGAGACGCATCGGTGAAACGCTCTTGCTTACTGATGATCTGCGGCAGGATTTTTGTCATCCCTAACCTTCTAAGCCAAGAAGGAATCTCTGCTAAACTCAAACGCCCTTGAGAACTTGGTAAAACTCTGCGTTTACTTTATTTTACAATTTTAGTGTATGAATCAGTGACACTCTTTATTCGTCTAGGTCACACTCCGAATTTCAATATCAAGGATTTACTGTCAATTATCGAATTCCAAAATCTTGCTTGAAGTCACAATGGGAGATGGTCCTCCGACCAATCCAACTCCGAAAGGCAAGTAAACAACAAAACAAAAAAATTTCTGAGACTTCTGACCTTTTTAAATGTATGAATTACAATATTTATTGAGAAAACCACAGTTATACATCATAGGACTTGGTTTTGATGTTTAATGGCGTATACTGATCGTAGAATTTTGCTGAGGAAGCCTGTTATAAAGATAAGTGACCTACCTATCTAGTTGTATTTGCGTGCTTGGATACACCATGATTCCGGCTTAGTGCCACCAATAGCTACAATTGTACAGGCAATTTCAATGAGCATCTCTATTCAAATTACAGAATACAGAATCAATGCGCAGTACGTGCGTTCATGATAGACACCGGCGCTTATTTTGGTGAATTACCCGTTTGAGGCCTAGCAACTGTCACACCACTTGTTTACATCCTCAACGCTCATTGTTCCATTCACCAGCCATTAAAGGTGCTGAGCCATCGCGGTGAACATTGAACCGCCATGACAGTCCTCGGGTAAAGAGCGTTGACAGTCATCAGAGATCCTAATTGAATTCGTACGCCCATGTGTAAAGAATTCTTTTTTTTTTTTTTTTACTGAATCATTCCAGTATCATTATAAAATTTTTCTAAATTGTTGCATCTCCTTCTTTTTACAGGGTATACTCCTGGATGGAACGACCCACCACTATTTTCTTACGATTCTCAAACAGCGCATTCGAATGCTCCCCGCAAAACAAACATCCTCACTAAACGTGTTGCGTTTCCTCTACAACCCTCTGTAGGCAGTGGGAATCAGAATAAAGCAGCAATAGATCCTACGCAACCTCCTACTTTTAAGTCTAATCTTCCCCCTCCACCCTGTGGTCTTAGCACATTGCCTCTGCACCCTGATAGTACTAAAGTTGGCTCTACAGAATCAAGTGCTGATGAGCATTTTAGTAAGGAAGAGACTCTTACAAAAGTATTAAGCAATCTAGATTCAATCACCAGTGAACTGTCCTCAAACAAATCATATCTTGTGAGTATCAGGAAATATTCATTCCATATTAATTGCTGAAGCCGAAAATGCATATCTCAGATTGCAGTATTGTAAGCCTACGCTGATTGTTTTTTCTTCTTCTTTTTTATTTTTATGTTTTCTTTTTCAAAGGAAAATTAATCAACAGTTTCCATTGAAAATTTTGGTGAATTTTTTCTCTCTTATTCTAAAAAACATCATGCAAAATTGTAAGGAAATATTTTCATTAATTTACCTTGAAGAAAGTAAAACATGATCTAAGATTTCTAACAGCCGCAGCTTTTGAAGTAAGCATTTTTGATATTTGGACATCGATTTTTGGTCCTCATATTGATGTAAGTTTTGAGTTATTATTATTGAGAAGGTTCCTAAAATAGATGGTGAAACTTAGACAAAAAAGAAATGTGTTTCATCCAATTAAGTAACTTAATTTTACCCCAATTCACACAAACTCTTAATTTTACCATTTTACGGAATTTTTAGTCACTTGGAAAAGTAAGAATTGACTACATAAATCAAAATGGAAAAAACTAAAAATCAAAGTCAAGGGGTAGGAAAATGTGTAAAATGTAAATGTATGGAATTTAGTAATAAATATTTTCGATCACATCAAGCAATGAGTTTTAAGCTGACAATTTCAATGAGTAATTTATCAGTATTAATACCACGAATAGCTTGCTACTACATGTTTTACTTTTTGTTCCTACCACGGATTATAACAATGATTTTAAGCACAATATAGAAGACATGCCTAAAATTTGAATTCTCCCCTGTCTTATTAATGCAGAATTCTTTCAAAACTATCTTAAATATCATCTAAAGTGGATGCAGGCATCCAGAAAATATAGGAGCGTGCTCCAGTGCTTTTTTATGCAAGCAGCCAAAGATAAGGAATTTTGGTAGAAGCAAACAAGTCCGTCCCTGCTCCGTTTTTCAAAGGTTACACAATTTAAACATTTGATTTTGGGAGTTAAAATTAAAAAATGTTTACACATTGGTGTTCACGTAGTAAATTGCCAGGTGCATCAACTTTTGTGAGGATAACTTTCGAGCACATTACCTTATGTGCACCGAGTCCTCCAGGGCACTGTTTTTTTTCTTTTTCTTTTTTTCTTAGTGAAAAAAACGGTTACGTTCTTTAACCCGTAGTAAGCCCTCCCATAAGAAGGGCATTTCATGTGGAATCTTACTGATTTAAGTAAAAACGATCAATTCACTGAACTCCTGTGTGAATGACTGAAGAAAATTTTTTTTTTTTTTTCAGGAACATGCCGATGACATTCAAAGGAAGCTAGATTTACTCACAAAAATGTGGAATGAGGATAAACTTCCGAAAGACGTTTATCAGCGTCTTCTGAAACTCACAGAGGGTAGGTCTTCTCTCGTTTTTGTCTTAATTTACTGTAGGTTGAAAACATGGGAAGGTTAGAGTTCTTGATTGTCAGACTTCCCTTGTTTTGACCGTCCTTTAGATCGATTACATACCATAAACTGACGAAAAGAAACTGACTTCAGACTAATCTATCGAAGCAAGTGGTTAAAAATGCATCGTTAATCTGCATTGTTGTGTTATGCATTGTTAATGTGTTATGTTTTGTCAATGTGCATTGAGAATTAGTTTCGCATTCGTTGCGTCAAAATGAACCGAAAATGTTGGTTGGGTTTCGCATGATGTAGGAGCCTCATTTTTTTATTTTTATCAATATTTGTTGTTCATATTAGTTGAGGAATTTTTGTCTCTTTGTTAAAAAAATAGTTTGGCTCAACAGAGTCTAAGTATGGTAACAAAATAATTACTTTATCCACATTTCACAGTTATCAGTGCTCTTCTTTTTCCGGGCACCATACCTAAAATGCGCTTAATAATGAGACTTTGGTGCTGGATAAAGTCAAATGCCTCATTAGAATTTTTGTAATTGATAGTCTGTGCTTCGTCACCTTATATCATTGAAAAAGCATTTATGTTTTTGACTTGAGGAAAAAAATTTGCTGTTTTTGAAAAATCTAATAACACATGGCCATTTATCCTTTTTTTAACTATTAATTTTTGCTCATGAATGCACATTTTATAAGCCATAATACGTAATGCGTATGGCAAAAATTGTGGATGGTTACTATAAATTAGGCTTGCTAGCCAAGTTAGCCCTCAAAATTTTACCATTTTGGAACGTAATTCTTGGGATCTTTCAATTTTTTTTCTCTTTTTTTTTCTCCCTTACTTCACTTCAAATGAAGGGCTTGAAGGACGAGGCGCATCAGTGCAGTTTTTGAAAAAATTAAGAAATTAATAGCTATGTTTATGCAAGGCTCTAAACCTAACTTCAATTGAAATCTGAGTTTGAAACTCGGGTTCAAATCACGGCATAAACAATGCGGAACTAATGAAATGTAGGTTTCCAAAATTTGTGTTTGAAATCTTAATTTACACTAAAGATTAGGTTTTCGCATTCTGCATAAATGAACTGGAGGTTAAAATTCAACTTGAAGTGCGATATCCAGGTGAGTGAACGGCAACATGGTGGATTTGTTATCGACCGTGATTTGTTATCCTTATGAAGTTCTATTGTAAATATGATGTGCATAAACAGTGCAAAAAGAGGATAGTTTGATTTCCCGCTTAAGTTGGGTTACAGCACCCTTGTAAACCCAATGGAGGAAACTTGCATTACAAACTCGGGTTTCGTGAAACCTTAGTTTCGAGCCTTGCATAAACATAGCTAATGATTCCAAGTAAAACTAGTCTTAATGCAATTCTGTAACAAAATTGCTCCCAAATTCCAATTTTCAAGCATCAAAAAGTCAGTTTGAACTTTCTTTCTACCATAAGGATCCATGTAATCTTGGAACTTCAAACACGCATTTCTCTACATAACAAAAACTGCACTTATGCAAGTTGTCCTCCAAGCCCCTCAAATATTCCCTCCGTAGTAATCCTGCACTTACAACTAGAGCCCCATCTCCCCCTCAGTTCCTACTCTACAGCCAGTCTCAGGCAACTGGTGCTCTAGACCATCAAACTCTGGTTACCTTGGAGGGAATCGAAGCTGGGACCCCTATATCATAGATCTAGCACTACAATCACTACATCACAGGTGGTCGACAAGAAATCAATTTTTTCTTTTCATTTTATTTGGTTAGGAAAGTCCCCAATCCTAGGCTCCAAATTGAGAAGTAATAAAAATTTAACTTTTTTCAGCCTTACTCTCCAAAGATTCCAAAAATGCTGATCACCTACAAGTTGGCCTAATGGTGGATCATGCTTCCTTGTGCAGTTCGTGGATCTCTGCAATCCGCCTTTTGATACGTCTGCGATCTAATGAGGAACTTTGATGTTATATCTGGTAATCATTCTTGCTACAGCTTTCAGTTTTGTTGTTTTAAATCTCATCGTGTCTTTCACCATCCAATTTTATCTTTTGTTCAATTATTACGATTTATATGTTTTGTTTTTGTATTTTACAATTGTTGCAAATATTCTCAAGTTTCTCATCTTATTCTCAAAAGGAAGGGAATGACATAAGGAGCTTCTTAATATTTTTAGAACCATTTGATGGAGATTTTCTTATTTTATTTTGCTATCTCTTATATTTTTTTAACTTGCTGATACTAATATTTTCAAAATCTGCAATACATGTGGCAATGCTGAAATATGTTCGTAAGTAAGTACATCATAAGTCACCAATTCCAAGCATATGAGTCAGCCTTCTGTCCTTCAAACTATTGGGAAAACTTGAAATCTTTATCAATTTGTGTATATGACAGGAACATTTGAGTATCTTCATAGGGAGAGTATGGCCGCCTGTGACGCATTTTTATACACTCGTTGCGAAAAATCTGTGGATAAGGTGCTTTCATGGCTGTGAATAAATAAATAAGATGACAGAAGAGTATTAATGAATAATCATGAAAACTTATGATGTAAGAGCTTTATGATAACCTAAAACTCCTAGATCACTCATAAAATGGAACATTTTTCCTGTACTAAAAAGACTCAAATTGCCACACCTCCCTATACATGTACTCACAGAGGAAGTATCAGACTCGTGTGGGTTAAAAAGGGATGAATTTCATTAATTGAGTCTGACGTGCTAGAGTTTTTCACTTGAAGCACTCTCTTCCTCATAGTCAAGAAACATTAGACTAAGTATTCCACGTTATTAAGAGCTAAATTTTCGGCTCACTATACTGCAAATATGGTCTAAAATTGGTTCCAGTCTACAACGGATGAAAACTAGGTATTTTTGAAAATTAAGGATATTATGGGAAGAGTGAGGGGAAAAGTATCATCAAGAAAATAAATTTATTTCTAAGAAAAGCTGAAAGACTCGATTTCTCAACAGCAAAAAAATTTCTGAAAAACAACAGCAAAAGAGAATAGTTTGAAAATTTGAAGGACAGCAGCTTTAAAAGAGTCTTTCTTGTATTGAGTTAAAAGTGCAAAATGAAGTAAAAACAAGTAAATTTTACTGATAAAAAGCCTCAAAATGTCAAGCTATCGTGATTAATTCCAACGAGGCCGTCTTGAAGTTACTTAAGAAGCGTGCACAAAGTATGCTTCAGTGATTTTCATAGGAATGATACTGATTCCCTTCAAAATTATTATGAAGGAAAGTTTAGATTCACAGGCCTACTGCGATATCTGTTTGAGTCAGAAATGCAATCAAATATCTCAAAAAATTTACAATCTCGGTATTAATCTCATATATTCATCCTTTGAGTAACTGAAGTTTATGAATCATCAACATCCTCTTTGGATAAAGCTCTGCAACATCCTCGGTGTTTCCAAGCAATTTCCACCCACTCCAGTAATTTCTGTCATAATATCATTACTTCTTGTAGTTATCAAGGGGGTAGTGTTCACCGTACTTCTTCAAATGATCTGCTAAGTAAGCTGACTGCTCCCTAAAGACAGCAACGTAAAATGATAACAAATTAGTAAATTATTTTCTAAGCAATGTTAAACCATCGAAATATGAATATCAAAGATTTTGATATCATATTAGGACGAAACACAGAATATTTAGCATATTCCAGATTAGCTGTGCAGTTACATTGAAAGCCTGCAAGTTTACTCAACTTCTATTAGAAATGAAGAACGTTTATATATTTTTTATCCCTAGAAAAGTAAGTCTAGGCTCCTTCTTGAAGGTTGTGTGAGGAGAAATGACTGCATTCATTTTTCTCATTTCTTTCAAAATTCCTCCTTTTATATCAATTTTGAATTCTCGAAAGAAAAATTAGTATAATATTCATTATTTGATTTTTAAGTTTACTTGTAAATTATGTGATACTGAAATCTTAAAAATGAAATTAAAGAGGCGATTTTTCTCATTACAAAAACGGCACATTTTAAATTTTCTTTCTCTTTTGTTTTAAAATATTTTTTTTTCAATTGCTGGTGCTGTATGGTTTGACATTATCAAATGGGTAAAGAAAGCCCAGGATACCACTGGATTGCAGAGTTGTGAAATCAATATTTTTTCTTGTCATTTGGCCTCAATCAATTATGGCCTCTTGTAATGTACAAAAAAAGATCTGTGCGAAAACTTCAGATACACTTTTTTCCTCGCTCACTTGCTCAAATTTTGAAAAGAACTAGAAACGCTTGAGGAAAAAATTTTATTCCTTTCCTCTTGAATATTACCCTCCCATCCCAGTAAGCTTAAGCATTTGCATTGTAAGATTTATTAACACCCAAGATGGATACATACATGAGGTGATCGGGCATTTCGTAATATACGTCTGTGAATAGTTCAGAGATCTCAGGTTTTAGCTTTTTCTCCGCCTCAGCAACTGCTTTCAAAACCTATGAAAAGAAAGAGGTTTATTAAATCATACGAGGTAAAGAAATGGTGCTGGGTCCACACCATTTCACGGGGAAAACAAAGCCAAGAAGCCCCAAAAATTATAATTAGAGTAAAAAATAAATTGTTTAACTCCAATGAGTACCGGTACAAAACTGAGGGGGAAGAGTGCTCAGCTCAGGCAGTTTGCTTTGGAATATGAGGTTGAGGTCATGCTGAGAGATCTATACTGGTTTTGGTCTTTAGGACCTCATCAGTAGATCTCACTCGTGAGTGAACCCAACTCAGCATCCTGCAAAATCAAAGACGGCATAAAAACGCCGTCATGAAACAAATCGTTAAAACAAATCTTGGAAGTATGATTTAGATAATCACAGTCATCATCTTATTTACGAAATTTACAACTTATTTGAAAGTTCACTTTGGATTTTCATAATTCTCTAATTTTTTTTTCAACCTCAGAATTTTAGATTGATTCCTTTTCTTACATCTGCCTTTATTTGCTTTGCCAAAAGCTTTTCCTTCTCTTCATTCCACCAGTTTGAATGTTCCATGAACAGTCTCAAACGAGTGATGGGATTGTATGACTTGTCCCAGTCTTCAACTTCCTCCTTAGACCTGTAAGCACTGCTGTCATCTGATGTACTGTGATGGCCGACTCTAAAACAAGCAAAGAATAGTTTCATTTTATTTCAAAATGAGTAAAATTGTAATTAATTCATTCAAGAGGTCTTTTAAACATGAAACCTTTTCTACATACCCAAGTAGCGATGACCGCAATAAATTGTGATTTGATCCGTAAATTATTTTCACTTAGTAGACAAATATTTCTTTAATAATGTCAGAAACATGAATTATGTTGCAATTTATATTGCAAGCAAATTGCTGTTGACAGGGCTGCTTCATTAATGCTGATTTTTGATGGTATCATTTGGAAAATATTCCAATAGATTAAAATGAAATCGCTATTAATTGGTGATTTAATCGAAAGGAATAAATAGCAATTGAATGGTAAATACATCAATAGATATAAATTGCAATCAAACGGTGATAATAATGATGGGAATATTTTTTAATTTTATTGTGATAAAATCTAATGAGTTTGTTCTAACACCAATAAGATTCTGACGATAAATTCACATTCATTTCAATAAAATCAACTTTGCCCGTGGACAATAATTTTTGAGTACCAGACGTTAAATTGTTGTCCCTCAAAAAGCTAGAAAGAAAGGAGTACCTGTAAGTCATAGCCTCAATGACCACTCCAATATTGTTACTCATACAGTAATCTCGAGCATACTTTGTAGCGTTTCTGACAGCAAAAATATCATTCCCATCCACTCGAACAGCTGCAAGACCATACCCCACTGCTCTTCCTGCGATTGCATCTCCTCTATATTGTTCCCGACTTGGGGTGGAGATTGCATAGCCATTGTTTCTACTGCAAAATAAAATTTGAAGACTGTAAACTTTTGCATATCCTCCGAATATTTTAACATCAGAAATGAATGAGGTTATTGCCGCACACTGTGAAATATAAATTCATCGTAGATGGTATAGTTGATTTTTCAAGGAAAAATGGGAGGAATTTGGTAAAGAAGATAAATAGAATGTCAGAATATTATCAATGACGTAATGGAAAGATAATATTCAATAAGGCAAGAAGCGCATTGAAATAGATCAATCTGAGTGCTCTACAACACAATTTCAAAGGTTTCCACTTCAACACTACTTTTCAGAGCAATGATAAGGGCAAACATTTTTAGTGGAGGAATTTTTTTCTTTTTATAAGGCTTTGTCATCTTTCCTCTGGTGTATTGAGGTTCCTTTACGAATTTCAATGGTACTTTCGAATAAAAAATTCTCATCAATTTTTCTGTGCTTTAAAGCTTTTTTTACAAGTTTACAAAATAAATTACCAGAAAAGTATGACAGGACACTGCAAAGTCGCCGCAAAATTGAAAGCAGCATGAGTGTCTCCTTCACTTGCAGCTCCCTCACCGAAGTAGGCGATGACACAGCGACCATTTTTAGCTAGTTTGAAGGCATATGCAGACCCAACAGCTGTTGGAACGGATTTTTGATCAGTACGACTCTTTTTAAAATTAATAAAAAAAGTATTTTGGTAAGGTCTAATTCCAAAACATCAGTACCCTACCATTTCTTCTTTTTCTTCATTTTTTAGTCTCCAGCCAATTTCTGCAAAATAATCGCACTTTCAAAATGCAGATCTATTCAAAATGAATCGATCCAAATCAGATAGTCTGCTTTTTTTAGAGGAAATCATGCTACGTCATGATTATGTATTATGTCATGAAATCACTAAATGGATATTTATTTTTATACTTGATCAATATGATGCTCTTTGGAGAAATTTTCAAAATTTTAATTGGAAAATGGAAATTACTGCAGAATGAAACTAGATTTAATTTATCTTCGAGAGAACGATAAAAAGCGTTTTTCAATTTGTGATGGTGCTAACTTCTGGCCACATTTTATCTTAAGGTGCAAAAACCAACAATTTTCATTTTTGAAATTTCCCATGACTTTTCATTCATTAATTTTATTATTATTTTTATAAAATTAGACAATGAATTTTGAAACATCACAATTTGTACCCGTGTTTTAGTTTCACAGTTTAGATACTTGTGAGCCTAGGAATGGTTCTGTCTTGCAAGATTTTTCATTGGTATTCTTCAAAAAATTTTGTGTATTATATTTTTTTTTTTCCAATAGAATTTCTAATGCTCCAATGCTGAGAAAAAAAAGTGTCTGTATTCGATACTATACTATCTGGCGGGCTCTCAGGACAAGTCATATTATATGCCTTTTGCTATGGATCGTTATTTCAAAATTTCCATGAAATTCTCCAGGGTTTCCATTTTATTGTTTCAATTACTTAGCAAAAGCAGGGTGAATGCTCCCCTGAATTGCCACATTTCTGTTCTTTAATTTGTTTTGATTTGTACAAAATTTCTGTCTCAAGTTATAGGCTCCTTAACTGCAGTATAAGCCATAAAACTCTCAAATAAAAATAAATAAATAAAAAAAATAAAATAACCTTACCTTGAGGAACTTGTGTAGCCAAAGGAGAAGAAAGTGTAATGAAATTCAGTTTTCGTGACCCGTAATGAATCGGCATTTGTCTGCCTCGACCCAAATCCTCATCATTGCTGTAACATTGATTTATAAAATCACTGAGAGTGAATCCTCGCCACATTAAAACACCTATAAAAATACATAATATCTTTGTTAAAAAATTTATATTTCAAATGCAAGACCATTTCACAGCATATTTTAGGGCATTCTCGTTGGTAAACTAAATCAGAAACACTATTAATTTGGAGCTCCTTGACTGGAGCTCCAAACTGGAATGCATGTAAGGTATCTCTCAGGGTATTTAAACATGATCAAGGGGGGGGAAAAACATTGAGCGTCATTCAAATTTAAGGAATATCTTCTCTCTCTGCGAGAAAGGTGAGAAAATAAAAACACCATTAAGTGATCATCACTAATATAAATGAGGTCCATCTGTATATCAAAGCTTATTAGTTATCTAGGCTTGACCTATAAACTTACCCGCTTCTCGGTATTGGCCATAAACCAAGTCGGTGCTCTCCAGGGCAGAAGCACTTCCTACTGCTACTCCTTCCTCCCCAAAACTTGTCATGTAAAAAGAGATGCGCCCTTGACGCTGAGCTTGGTACAGTATTCCATCCAATATGTTTTGTCGCATCATCGCTTCATACATTTTTACGGTTGTCTCCTCATCTACCTGAGTCAAAAATTAAGCGCAGCAAGTTATTAAGACTCTCAAGGTGAATTCATTTTTAACCCCATTCTCGGGGGATTAAAAAATCAATTCAAAGATTGCTCAATTTATTTCCATCTAAATTTATACCTACTCAATAGGGTTGTCATTGGGAAAGACATCCTATTTACAAAGGAAATAATTTAAACCCCCTATCTCGTTAAGGGTTCCAAATACTTGCTGAAATGCAACCTAAATCTTTCTGTTGGTATGAAAAAGAATGATACCTTGTGTTTATTCTTCAGGATATTAAAGAACATCCTGCAGCAATTGAGTAAATGCAAAAAATGTGCATCTCAACTGCAACGTCTAAAAATCTCCAATTATGCTTTATTCTCTTTGAGGAATTCTTATCAGAATTTTTCTTTAAAATTTTGTGCGATTCTTTTAGTATGCGCAAAGAAAATGCACTAAAGATCACAATTTAAACTGTTTTTCTTTGAAAAAATGAGCGTGAATGGAGTCTTTACAACGTCCCTATCAGAGGTTCGCATTTTTCAACTTTAGCCATCCAATTTTGTTTCAAGTACATACTCAAATTTCTCTTTTTCTAAGAAAATTTATGAAATTTGCTCTTCTGAAATATTATTGTCACACACTAAAGTCTCTATCCCTGTCAGCAGTTATTGTATTTTAAGGAGTCAATACTGCTTCTTTTTAATTTCAGTATTTTTTTAAAAGTTTTGTTGGCATAAATGAAAATCCATTTTTTGGATGGAGGTCTAATCTTAAAAGTCAAGTTCCAGAACAGGAGTTTTAACAAAATCAATGCTAATTACTTACGTCTATTCGCTGATCTGAATCGATCAAGCGCCCATCAGAACCAAGGACTTGGTAAATTGGAATTTTCGGCACATCTCTCTCCGTTGTCACTTGCAATTTTGATGTGAAATCCACTGGAAACACTGGAGCAGACGAGTTCCTGGAGTCATTTTGTGTCTCCAAATTGAGCTGCAATTAAAATCATTATCAGTCGTTTTCCAAAAGAGTCGGAGGTCGAGATATAGCACTGTGCTATCGGATATTGCACGTTAATCCGGGAAATATACACACAATAGCTTTCGACCAAACGGGGAAAGATTATATTAACATAATTTCAGTTCGCCTTCAAGTTTCAGTGTAGGCAACAAGAGCTACCCCGTGGTCGAATAGTGATGTCATCGTGAAAAAGCACGCTTACTCGGGACACACACTGATAACAGAGCTTATTACCAAACAGGAAGAGGTTTACTTCAACGCCATGTCGATTTGCCTTCAATTTTTAGTGTAGGCAACACAAGCTCCCATGTGTTCGAATAGTCGTATCATCCCCTAACGGAAGTCACCCGAAATTCCAGTACGTACATTTCCTCAATTATTTAAGTGATCAATCATAAAAATATCCAATCACTAGGACGTAATAAAAATTGCACAATCTTAGCAGCATTCCAAGCGTCGTATGCCATTTTACTGAAAAAGTCCTCTATTAGGTACCAGGGTTTAATATCGACGGTAAAGCTCCCGAACAACGTAGGTTGCGGTGTTTTAAAATTCCCGGTCCCAAATTTTATTTTTTTGAAGGAGATCAGATCAACACAATTTTTTGAAGTCTTCACAGAATCTTTTCCCATAAGGTACCTCAGTAAAATCACGGAAATCTTAAAGAATTGAATGTCGTCGAGTAGTTTTCCATACCCGCCTGATGCATGACAGGCAGTCTGCAATGTGGCAAACCGAGATATGTACCTACCTGTGTGGTTTCAGAGTTCCACTGTCCATATGCTGTTTTTCCTCACAAAATTGTATATTACAGACACACTATGGATCTATCCGGATCCTTTCCAAAATATGGAAAAAGTGCGGAAAAAATATGGAAAATATTCGGGAAAAGAGAGAGAAAATAATATTATTAGGAAAGCGCATAGAACTGCAAAAAGAACATTTATTTGAGACTAAATGTAAAGCGTTCGCATTTATTGGAGCCAGGCACTTTCAGCGGGAATAGATTTAAAAAAAAAATTCAGGAAAGATAACTCAAAATTCCCTATTTGTCTCTACCCAAGTAGCAATGGCTCTTAAAAAAAAATTCTACAAAAAGTTGTCAAAAAAAAAATGTACTTAAAAAACTTGTAAATTTTCAGAGTCCGTAAACTTTGAGTAAAAAACTTTTAAAATACTCGTTCTAGGAAACCATTTTGAGGAATTCTTTAAATAAAAAAAATAGTGTTATTTTAATTGAAAGAAAACGTAAAATACCGTGAAAATAACAAACTTTATCCTCAATTTTTATAGGCTGCAAATTTTCCTTTTATACTTTGGTGTTCACCGTTTGTTTTTCCTCGTTTTTGATCGCGGGACAGTTATAAATAGAATACGCAAATTTTACTTAAAATTTAGGTACGCAAAAAAATTTACTCAAAATTTTTCTTCAATTTTATGTAAAAAAATCCCCCAAAAAGGTTTCCTGACATGAATATTTCAGCAGTTTTTTTACGTAATTTTCAAGTGGGTTTTGAAGTAAATGTTAAGTTCTCTTAAAATTTACGCGTTTCTTACAACTTTCCTCAACAGCCACTGCTACCAAGGATTTTTTTTTCTCCCTCCCCCTCCCTCCATGTCCGGCTACCCCTTCAGATTTCTGTTCCCGTGCGCTCTCCCTCTGTTTTCCAACACCTTCAAAGAGAGCAACGCTCACACGTTTTGCGTCGATTTTAAAATCGTAACCTGAGGCAGTAAGTAATCGTATCCGTGTTTATTACTGATAACTGTCGAGTAGATAACGTCAAACGTTGCCTTCGGCTGTAGATAAACGTGGAAGGGAGTCAGCTGATAAGTTACAGGCATCCTTGGACCCACAATGCAACTACGGTAAGTGAATTCCCTGAATAAATTACTTCCTCCGTCGAATCAAACACTCGCTCGAACTTTTTTTGAATTCAGAATGTGCGGAAAGTGTGGGGAATAGCACCGTCATACGGCGGGAAACCGAAGGTTGAAATAAGTGTCCTCGTACTTACTTGGGCTGAAGAACTGGCGCAGCTGGACTGGAAACATCGCACGGCGGTGCCGACGGCTCTCAAATTTCTCAAAATCAATTTGGAATGCATGAGGGTTTTTTCGCGTTAACTGCGGGTTCGGAAAGGAAAATTCATTTAGCGCGGCACCAGCACTCACACCACAGGAAACGGATACGCACACTCTGGAGGCGCTTCGCTAGTGGCTCCTCCCCCCCNCCCCCCCACCCGCGGAGGGGAGCCTCACCCCCTCCGATTGTTTCTGCGCAAGTCATTGCTCTGCCGCACAGTGGGCAAGTTTCATTTCTTAAAATTCAGGTACCTCATGAGTAGGTACTCGCGAGTATCTGTGGGTGCAAGTTCCATGCAGCTTCCAAATTTTTTTAATGGCTCCTATGTTGCTGTCCTGAGGACAAACGCCGCATGAGCCTTCAAACGTTGCCAAATTTTCTCCGATAAAAACTGAATTTATCGGGAAAATTGTGAATAGGTATTTTTTTCAAAAAATTTCAGACGATTTCGTCAGATCTAAAATAACTGAAAATTTCAGAAAATAATGTGCATGAAAGTCGTCAAAAATACATGTTTTATCAAGGGAAATTTGGCAACTTTCGAATGTTCATACGGTGTTTTTCCTCAGCACGGCAATATAGCTCTCTACCTTTTTTCGGTACGGAGTTTTTCACTTTTCTCTATGTCATCAATTTTTTTTTTTCATTTTTACATCACTCATCTATTTAAGTATTTTGCGAATACTTTTTTCATCGTCTTTTTTTTTATTTTTTCATAATTTTTTTCATTCTTTTTCTGCGAATCTTATGAAATTCCCATTTGTTTTTCTACTTTACTTCTTTTGCTTATTTTATTTGTTACTTGAGTTTTATTGTTTTAGTTTTCTATTTACCGGGTTTTCTTTCACCTTTTCATAACTTTCTGTTCATTCTATTTTTAATTTTTTCCCCACGTTTTTATTATTTTAAATTGTTTCTTTATTTCTTTCCTATCCACGCATTTTATCCTCTGACGTGTCCAGTTTCCCCGCAACTCTTCCTGCGGCGAATCATTCGAAAACCTCTTGTCACAAGTACAATGCAGGTGAAAAAAAAATATAAAAAAATCACAATTTCACCGGGCGGGCCACAAAGAGCTTTAAAAATTAGTGATTGGTCCAAAGATTTTGTGTCGGTCGGTGCGTCACATATCGACGGTGAAACTACCAAACCACGTATCTCGTTTGTGGTGTTTAAAAATCTACGCTCACATTTTATTTTTTTGAAGTAGACCAAATCAATATCATTCCTTGAAATTTTCACAGAATTTTCTCCGCACAAAGAGGAAAAATCACAGAAATTTTCAAGCCTGGATGTTAAGTAGTTTTTCATTTAAAAAATAAGGTATGACAGGAAGTCTGCGACGTCGCAAACCGAGATACGTGGTTTGGTAGTTTCACCGTCGATATATGCTATTTGTCCCTCAACAGTGCGACGTGACCGAAGGAAAATAGTAAGTACGAAATAAATTAAATCGCAAAAATCCAATGACAGGACGCCCACTGTGCGTCTAGAAACAAGTCATCTCTTCTGCAGCGCTGTCAAATTGCGACCGCCTTTTAAAACGACGGATTCCTCATCCTTCGCCCTTGGGCCGAGAAAATATCATTACCTGAAAATTTGCGTTGGGTACTCCTCTAGTATCTCTCCTTATTCCATGCGAGTACCTACCGGAAATGCATCGTTGAGGCTCGCCACTTGTGGGGAATTTCGAATATTTTTGGGAAATCCTCCACGGCACCGCAACCCTGTTGCATGGCGGTGACCTCTACCGACGTTGCCGCCATGAGGAGAAACCGCATAGGTACGATAATGCGAAACTGTGGGAAAATGCATGTCTCGCTTCGCAACGTCGCAAATCTCCTGATAAAGTTGAATTCATTATCTTATAAACTTTTGTGTGATTTTTTATTTCATTTTCCCGCCTTTCATGAATATTTTTGGAAAATTGCATGCAAGTTATGTCAGGTGCAGTATACTTTTGATAGCAGTAAAATCAATCGTCGATATGATTGTTTTCATTCTGGGCAAACGAGTCATTTACGCAGGCAATACTAAATTTGAAAGTTTTACAAGACACGTTTAATTTTTTAAAATTTTGACCAGTTTTTTCAACGTACCTACCCGTTGTCGACGTCGCACACAGAGGCTTACAATTAAAGTTTTTGGGATGATTGAAAACAATGTTAGTTTTCGCTCAAAGTACTCGCATATATTAGAAATGACAATTGCCCGATGGTTGAAGATAAGTAACAAGTATGTACTTAAGTAATTAACAAATGAATTGCAAGGGCGGTCTTTATTCAAGAACATGAGATAGCAGGGACGCCCGTGCCCATTTAACCCTATTTATAGCATGCATTTCCACTCTCCGAACCTTTCCTTTATTGAATGATTTCGGTATCGTTTCAAAAACATCTAGATTTCTTTTTTACTTGAACGTCTGAAAATATGAACATGATTTTAACGTTCTAGCCGTGCGCTCCGTGTTGGGATGTCGCGCGAATTTGAAAAAACGCGCGCTTCGGAAAATGCGGCATTGTGGGTAATGTGGACGCCATCTCAAATTCACTATCCAGTTCCGAATGTGTGGTTATTCGCTATCGGGCCTGAATATTGTAGAACACAAAGTCATGGTGAAATAATAAAAATTGTTCGCCTTTTGTCGCGTGTGCTCTTTCCAGATATCTTCGCAATCCCTCGAAGCCTTTCCGACACTTCCTAGGTTCAATTTTATTATTTATTTGTTTAGGTAAGTGATCAACAACCGTGTCACTTCGCTCTCCTCTGCCGTGTTACGAGAACCGGTCTATGTTATTATTTTCAAACGCAACCTGCCACCCTCCTACCGATGCTTTTTTATCACCAGAATTTTCATCCGAAATCGTAAACTACCTTTGTGTATGCCCTTTCGCCACAACGATCGGGACTTTTTTTGTTCCTCAGTTGATTTGCAGTATTGGGTCTCCTGCTGTCATGGAAAGGGTTACTGCTATTTGCTCAAAGTTATAACTATCTGCATCTAACTTTTGTACTCTGACTATCTAACATATTAATTGCCTGTCAGATGTGTCTCATAACACACATTCGCTATGGTACCACCTTAGTCACAATAACCATCATTAGCAACAGCTTTCGCCTTTGTATGTTGGTTGGGTATGTTGACATTTTTCAACTCCCAATGCCCGCAGTGACTGATACTATCTCCCCAATTTTTTGGCTATTTCATGCAATTCCAGTATTCAGCATGGTTCTTTAGTCATTTAATGAGCATCAATGGCTATGATAGCTCAATTTCATAATCTTACATTATTTGCGGCTAGGGCAATGCACTGATGTCAGGTCGCTGCCTCATCCGAGGGCTACAAGACAGGTTGTAACTTCTAACTTTAAGCTCCAAGGCCTTCCCTAGCTGATATCTTGGATACAAGAGCAAGGCAAAGGAAAGATTGAGTCTATCCTAAACTGATGAGCATAGGCTCATGGTTTTTTTATCTTGATTGTTTATCAAATAGATCTAACCCACCTATTAAGAATCATAAAACACACTCATTTAATACTGAGATAACACTTAATGAGTTTGTCTGAGCTCTCCTAAGAGTATGCTCAGGATAAGAGCCAGCAGAAACCATAGACTTGTAGCTGGTATAAACTATCTAATATCATTGACTTACAACTGTAAACAAACGTACACAATAGGCTGTTAATGAAATTTAGTCACTTTTAAATCATTGTATAGGCTCTTACTACACTGAATGCGTATTATTAGACAGATCAAAGTGATAATCTTGGTTTTTGGGAATATTTAGGAATATCTGGGATTAGATTCCCAGTCTGTAAGCAATTCTGCTTGAAAACTCTCCGTAGAATTCTAGCTGCTAACCTGTTGAGTATTGTTGATCTAAGTCCAAGCATTGCTTGGTCACCTTTGACGAATGCATTGTAACTTTTGAGCGAAACACCTTGTGTCAATGAATCCATTTAACAAGCAATAGGAACTTAGGACTATTATTATTTACATTTCTGTACCTTTGATGGCTGAACTATTAAATCAGTCCAATTATAAAAGCTGCGTTGTCGAAGTCAACTGTTGAGGAGCGTTGGGCAATGGAATTACCCGATGCCCAACGCTCGGCGTTGTTCGACTTCCGTTGGGATTGCCCGATGTGCTGGACTGTTTACCAAACGGAAGTCAACAAGTCATCGGTCTCAGGAGGTAGTTGAGAGCGTTGAGCTAACCTCTAAATGATATTGTGCACGCGGTGTCACATTCAAAACACAACAATTTTTAGTCAACAGAGACGACCAACAACGCGTTTTCCAACGGGTAAGTCAACTGTCACGTGATATCCGTTAGCGTTGAGAAGCCCAACGCAAACGGAAAGTTGACTTCGACAACGCACCTTAAGTATCCTTCAAAGTTTACTTATTGATTCTCTGACTGCCCTGAGAGACTTCTGGTTAAGATTATAAAGAGATCAATATATTGACTATTTAACTAAAACAGTCTGTAAGTAGACTGCGGTTTTTCAATATTTCTGCTCCTAATACGATTTTTCATCAGTAAACCAATTATTTTCATATGAAATTTTTCACACTATTGAAGAATCATTTAAAATTTTAAAAATCGAAAAAGTGGTTACCTTCATATCTTGAAAATTTGATGAGAAGTTTGCAACATTTCCTAATGCGTCATAGGCTTTTCCAGTTCCATGATGGTAATAGGTGTCAACTTTTCCATTTTAGAGAGAGATGCTCGTTAGAAGGATCTCGCAAGCTTGTCTCAAAATGCACTCTCTGAAGGTGGACAATGAGTTTCTCCTCTGAACTCCTTTTTCTCTAATGATTCTTGGTGTTAACCGTATGTGCCCACTGAATACCTTGCAGAGCAATGCCTGCTAATAGTTAGACAATTCCTGCGCAAGTTTAGAAAACAGTCTGTGCCGAGCAAAAGAGGAAAAATGTTTAAATTTTATTTTGAGCTTTTTTAGGTCGAATAGATTAAAAAAAGTGGCATTGGTCATTGAGAGTGCTGAGCAAGACATTTATTTCTCCATTTCAACCTTCTATTTCCAGCATAGCTTGTGAACAGAGATTAAAAAATCTAAGGCATTCCAGCGTAATGATAGTCAAGAACTCTAAGTTTATGTTGTTGCAGTAGTTTTAATGTTGAATTCGGTCATTTCCTCCTTTTTCCTAACTCAGAAATAATAGAGTGGGATGCAGGTCATTCTAGAATATTAGCTAAAAGCACTATGAACTTAAGTCCTAAAAATTAACAACACTGTCCTATTTCTATTTTTCAGAAATATTTTCAAGAAATGAGTGCGATGAGCGCCTCTCCTGTGAAGCCAATTTTGCCTCCTGGAGTCACCTCCTCCCCTCCAAAAGTAGTTCCCCCCAGCACCACAACTTCGTCCATAGCTCCGAGCATACCCTCAGCCGCTTGTAATTTGCCTGGTAGCCCATTGAAAACTGCCAGCTTCAACAATTCAGTGAGTCTCAGCTTAGTTTCAGACAACAAGCCTCAGGCGCCGCAGCCAGCTGCTGTTACAGTTCCATCAGTTCAGCCGCTCCCACGCACACCGGAAAAACCCAAGGATGCTGCACCTGCTGCCCCTCTTCCTCTCAATAATATTGCACCCAAGGTGACACCCAATGGTATGTAGCTGATGTGTTATTTTCAAATATTTAATTTTACTTTCAAGCAAAGGTGAACCTGATTCGTTGTGTGAAACAGGAGAATCGCCTTGAAAAGAAGGAAAAATTAGGAAACCCCTCCAGATTTTGTGAACATTTTCCTGTATGGTGCTCCAGTTAAAAAGTCCAATTTTTTGGAGGGAAAAAATTCAAAGGAAAGTTCCGAGTGTCCAAAAATTTCTGCTGTGTTCATCCTTCAGGTAGGATCGATTGGTCTATAATATTCTATCTAATTGGCCCCACTCCTGTAGGGTGCCATCGTTGGAACATAATTTTATCATCTTTGTTTTATTTGCAGGTGTGTCATCTGTCGCTACTCCAACGCCAGTCTCTGCCCCTGCCACGGTTCCTAGTGCTGCCCCTGCCTCTGCCCCGGCTCCAGTTCCAACACCAGCACCAGTAACAACGCCAGCACCTGTGACAACTCCAGCGCCCGTAACGACACCAGCTCCAGCCCCAGCTCCCGCCTCTAAGGAGCCTCTCACAAATTCAGTCCCAGCCCCTAAAGATAAAGAGAGCCCTGCCAAACAGGAAACTGCTCCACCGAAACCTGCCGGAAACCATGCTCCCAGTGCTGTTGCCCCTCCCCCACCAGCAGGTAATTAAACTTTTCTCCTTCTGCATCAAATAACATACTTCCCCTACCGACAAAATACTTGCTGCTATCTTAATGCCCTCAAGGGTTCAATTTTTAAATGTACCAATACTTAATTGTCATTCCTGCCCCAAAAAGTATCTTACTATTGAAATGATTCTATGAGCACAAATACTGACTTAAAATTTTTTGCTGGCACATGTATTTTTTATGAAAGGAGATTCTGTGATCCGTAGCTTAATATTTCAGTAAACAATTTGTGCAGCCCCATTTATTTTCATTTTCGGAGGGAGTGTTTTTAATGTAATCACCAAGTTTTGTATTTGTATGCAATAACGCTTCAAGGATTCTTGTTTTTTTTTGGCACTGCCAAACAAGGAAGATATAAGTAACATTTCCCGTGTTTTCACGCGTTATTTTATTTATGTTCTTCAATTTTTGCATCGAATATTTATGTTGGTGTGCAGTCCAAGTTATTTAATCAAACGTTATTTCCTCAGCTGCCGTTGCTAAACCTGAGCCGGCTCCCGCACCCCCTGTAGTAAAAGCTCCCGCAGCACCTGCATGCCCGATCGAGAAAAAAGAGTCACCTTTACCTGAAACAAAACCAGAAGCCAAAGCTGAGACAAAAGCAGAAGCTAAAACACCGGAAAAACCTGCACCAGTAACGCCATCTACAACCCCAGTAGCTTCTGTTTCACAGCCTAGTGTGCCGGCAACAGCATCTGATACTGCTAAAACAACAAAGGAAGAGACAACGCCGGCTCCAGAAGTTAAAGCTCCCAAAGTTCCTCGTGTGCCCAAGAAAAAAGCAGAACCCAAGGTATGAAAAATTCACATTATATTTCACGGAGCTAGTTTGATTTAAAGTTAGCATAATTTTTCAGAAAATATAGAGACTAATTGTTCCCTTGTGATACAGCATAGAAAAAAGTACAAATTTGAAGTAATTCAGGAGGAAGTTTTTGACTTTTCAAGAAAAGCTAGAAGTTTCTTTAAAGAAATTCAAAAATTAAGTAAATATACAATATTACACTACACGGAAGTGGTGTGTTGCCCTCTGCAATGACACGATTGATCTAGATTTGAACCAATGGAAGAGGATCGATTATCAGGTTGTTCTCAATGAACATGTCATTTACGAATCGTCTACCGTGGCTTTAAATGAAAAAATGTCAATAGCTGATCGACTCACACTTTGCCTTCAAAACACTGTAAACAGTTTCATGTTGTCTAATAACTAAATATTTACCTGTACACATTTTACAATAGTCAGATTTTTTCTTCTTCTAATGTTAGATTAATGGATGAAATGTGAACGAGTTTTAACATTGCTCATTTCTTGTTACATTAATACTATGAAATTTATTCTAATTTGTAGACGGCTACCCCTGCAAAGTCGGATGAGGCAGGAGATGAAAGGAAGTCCAAGCGGTCCAGATTGCCCACTCAACCGTACCAGAGCCCATTGCCGGAACTGTCGCTCATAACAAAAATATCCACCAAAACTGCAACTCCCACAAAGAAAGAAGATGACAAACTGATCGTTTTTTACAAGTATGACTCCCTCATTATTTTGTTCATAACTACTTATTTACTGAGAGGCTAACTGCTTAACCAGTAGAAACTCCACAATATAATCCAGGCAACCAACTGTTCACTATCTATAACATGGGAAGCGCTCAGATTAGAGCTTCAGAACTAAAGCCCCCATTGGCTAATTTGGCATCAAAGACCATGAATGTATATTCAGCTTCCCAAAACTTGCCCTCAAGGGCTTTATTGGGGGAACACCTATTGTTTCTAAGGATTTTTAAATAATGTACCGTATTTACCCGCGTATCGTATGCACCCCAAATTTTGAGGTCCTTGGGGAAAAAAAATGCTCTTTTTCGAAATTTTTTGAGAAAAAAATGCATTTTTTCTAGAAAGTTTTTGGAGGAAAACAAAGTAAAGAATACGAACTATAACACATTTTTTTGACGTAACCGTATTTCGGAGTAGCCTGCCGATTGCCAAAAGTTTCGGCCTCCTGAATCACTTTGAGTTTAAAGCCCGCGGTAAACAATCTCGGCATTGCGAAAAAGAACGCAGACCAGAAAAGATAAGCCGGGAAGATGTACGATCTAAGAAAATCGACGTCACGCCGCGGTACAAGCGGTGAATCAGTGAACAAGTGGAAAGGGGTGGGGAGAGCATGTATAGTCTGCCGTTGGCGCGAGAGTGCGCGACAAGCGGGATTCCCATACCACTGCGCTGATTGGCCAAGCGAGAGTTGCGGACGCTGAGTCTGCCGCAGAGTATAGGAACATGTGACTCATCACTCGCTCTACAACCGCCGGCCAGCGAGGGTCGGTTCGAACTTTGTTGCGGGTTGCATCTCAGGGCAATACCCACGTATCGTACGCACCCTCAATTTGAGAGCTGGAATTTTGAAAAAAAGGTGCGTACAATACGCGGGTAAGTACGGTATTTTACTAATTTGACTTTAAATTCATATTCCATCAAAAAAGTTGTATAAGACCCATGTATCGCAAGACGCGTTCACCCATCTTTTACGTAGTGCCCCTCGCTCTTTTAAATCCTATCAAAAGTCGTATATACCTAGGACAAAGCTTCAATTAAAAATGGGTTTTTGTGATTTATCAATCTCTTGTATTTTTTGCCTCAAATCTGAATTTGAAGTCTTAATATCCCCTTTCCTTTTGAATTTTTCCTTTTTACGAGTTCCCTAACTTGCCAAACTTTTAGGAGACAGTGGCCATCATATTTTGGGGTTCAAATTGGACATATGTCGTGCATTCAGAAGAGGGGTCTCATTGTCCTTAGGAGGAACATGCTCATGTTTTTGAAATGACATACCGCATGTCTGCAATATTTGATTGAGCACTACCCCACTAGTCCATAAAAAGGAAGGCGCAAGAAAGAAATGTGGAGAAGAGAAAGTCTTTATTTTTCACCGTAGAAGCTTTTTTTTCTTTTTGCTCCCCAACTTTCTTAGAATGTTTAATCGATTAGGTGATGATCAAAGATATTAATTCAACGTTTAAAGGTAACCACAAATTCTCAATAACCAGTGACTTTACAATGTAATATTATTTTTCAGAAATGAATTTCTGGCTGTGAGGAATGCCGAAGGTGGTTTCTACGTATGTCAGGCTATGCAAAACATCTATAGAACCTCCTCAAAGATACGTATACGATGGCTTTCTCAAGATAGCAGTGGAGTCTACATCCCTGACTTTTATGATCATTCAGGTTGGTTTCCTGTCCTAAGATATTGTTTCTATTTTATCTAATTTCTTTAGATGGCGAATAGGGACAAAGGTTGCCTTCAATGTGCTCCTCCTGTCTCCTTGTATTGTCAGTATCTCCGGAAACATGTCCGGATTGTATTTGATAGCGATTCAATGTATCGTTTGGTTCAAAACAAGAGAACATAACCTCAAACCAAAATTTTAAGATATCTGTCTGAAAAGCTGAAAATGAGAAATTTTGGAGTAATTTCACTACTCTTGGCCAATTAGTACTCGTATGAATCAACAAAAAATATATATCTATAACTTTTCCCACTCAATTTCACCATAATCTTCTTATTCTTGTTCTAGACTTTGAATGCATTCTCACAAGTTTATCGCTTGGACGGGTTGACAAAGACAAGTGGAAGTTGCCTGATGATGAGCGACTGCGCACTGAAAATATCTTGAAACGAGCTTTGGATGTTGAGAAAGGCGTCGCAGAAAAACCATCAGTCACAGAAGAACATCCTGACGGCTGTAAGTTTTCATATGAACATAAAGCACCGGTACTAAAAATTTGACCAAGTGCTCTATCCATTCTCCAAAAATCACTTGGTATTTATTCACCTTGCTTCTTACGGTTATGAAATCCTCAAACCAATATCTCCATTAGTGTTTTGTAAAATTGTAGGTTGATAGGGTCTTGAAAAGTTCAAAAGTTGGATAATTCTTCTCCACCACAAAAAATCCATTTTTCAGAACTTCAACATTTTTTTGTCTCGGCCAAGACATTCTAATATACATAAGTAACTGTTTTCATTGTATCTTATCGACTGAAGTTGAAACTTGTGAATCAAGCAATGTTGTGAGTCTAACATCAAACAGACAAGTTCTGTCCCCCAATATCCTGAATCTTGCAACGTTAAAATGTAGACTGCCCTGTCATTCTACTATTTGCGGGTTACCAATAGGTAATGCTGGGGTCTTAGCAATCTGTGGTACCCTTGGTTTGATGCATTCGCTATTTTCTTGCCCGTTTTTCTTACCTGTTTTCATAAGTCTCTTTTTTTTCTGTTTTTCCAGTGGATCTTAGTCTGTTCAAAGATGAATCTCAGCTGAAAAAGTCCCGCAGAAGCTCAAAGAAAGCTTCTCCGAAAGCAAAGAAACCCAAGCCTGCAGAAACACCGAAAAAAGAGGCTGTAACAGAGCCTACTCGGAAGAAGGACAAAAGTAGCAAAAAGCGAAAATCTTTGCCAGTCAAGACAAAGAAAGCACCTCCTCCACCGAAGAAGAAGACGCCAGCCAAAACCTCTCCGGCAAAGGCCCCGGCCGTCAAAAAACCAGTTGAAACTAAGAAAGCTGCAGTAAAACGGAAGGCACCAAAAGCGGCCCCATCAACTTCCTTCTCCAGCTTGACGCCTGCTGAAAAGCGGAGGAAAGTAATCGAAAATCTTACAAAGCAAGTTGCGACCAGTGAACGCTCAACCAAAACGAGAAGTAAGTCATCTTTTTATTTTCTATCTTGGGTTCAAAGGCTAGCTTTCTAAAGTAAGAGTCAATTTTTTACCTACAGAAAGGTCAAGAATTCAAACATCCGTATTTTTATAATAATTTTTTATTTCTTTTTACTGTCTTAAACCTCTCAAATAACTCATAAAAAATCGGAGCATTGTTTTGTTTCATGACAGTAATAAGTGCGAAGAAAAGATGTAGAATCCCAAGCTTTGCCTTGTAACTAGAGTGCATTATGGCTTAAGTAATACAGGGTTGGAAATCCCATCAGCTGATGATATTCCGCGCACATAAGATGAAAAGTAGCGCTGATCAGTGTTGATGATTTTTCATTTAACAAGTAACTAGTCTGCCGTAAAAGTTAGTGAGAAACACAATGGTGCTAGCAAGGATTGTCTTAAATCAGCTTTTAAGTTCCAGAAGTGCTTAAAATTTCATGCTGAAAAGGAGAAGCATTCCTCTTCTCCAAAAGAGTCTTCCTTTGCATTTAGTCAACTTTCACCTTTGGCAAATGAGAGGATAGAATATGTTGTTGCAAGGCGGGGAAATGGAAAATAAAGACTAATAATGTGTGTTGAAGGGTCTGGAAAGAACACAAATACTTCGAGTTCTGTAGTGCAGATTAACTGCTCTCTAACTTAGCATCTGTAAAATTGGAGGGAAAGTGTGGCTTATTTGCAAGCCCCTTTCTTCAGTACATTTTTTCCTCAATTTTTCTCACCCATCCAAGTTCAAATTTTTATTAGGTAATTAATTTGCCCTTAGTTTTCCTTATTATTTTTATTTAATATCTTAATCTTGCATTACATTTTTCATTTTGAAATTTTTTCTTGTACTTTGAACAATCTGGTCAGTAGAAAATATCTAATTTCAACAGGGAAAATTTAATTCTGTTTCAGGCGCAGGAGGCGCTGTAGCGGCCAAAATCTCATCGGCAGCGCTGAAAATGGTTATCACCAAGGACCGAGATCGTCGCAGTTTGGCCGTGCGCAAAAAATAGACAATCTCATTACCTCCAAACTGCATTCTCTGTGTACATAACAAAATTGCTGTTTCTATGGAAGAAATATTTGTAAGCTAAGGAAAGTATGTATTGATCTTAAAGGCATAAGGCATCGGTGAACAGTTTCTTCACTACGAAAACTAAATAGAAAATTCTGTTGCTGCATGAATGGTCTTTAACCCAGAAAAATAATTAAATTTTCATGAAAGATTTATTGTTGAAAATATGGGCAGCTGTTTCCATTCCCGTTGGGTCAATCAAATTGTTTGTGCTATCAGGCAAGACCTTGATAGAAGCACATAAAATTGATGGAACCACAGTATCCCCTACCCCTTTCCACTTTTCAGCAAAAAGTCTGTATTATAATTATTTTTCTAGCGATTATGACAAAAACAAAAAACAAGAATAAGTATAAATTAAAACGGATGCCGTGTCCACTGATGGGGGAATGGCTCCACTGAAGTTTGTGGGCAGGAAAATTCCATATTCTCGAACTATGGAACGACAGAAGGACCAGAACTTCACAGGGAAATCTCCCTATCCTGCACACTTCAACGACAAGTGTCTCATGCTTTCTTTATAATTTTGTTTTGTTATTTTTAATTTTATCTATATGACTTCAAGTCTACAGTTTTATTATTTTGATCGCTATGATATTTTACAGTATAATTTTTAATTATTATATTAAGAAAGCTTGTTATATTATTTTTTATTTATTCTTTTACAGTCTAAGTTATTTTTAATATTCTGAGTCTATTGAGTTTTTTTTTTTTTTTTAGCTCCACCTTTATTTTATGATTTGAAATTTTATCACTAATCTGAATTCCTCAGTCTTGTCCTCAAGAGTTTCCCTCAAAGTATGATTCGTCAATTTTGCGGTACGGTACAAGTTTTTTACAATCGGCTGGACCACTACTTGAAAGGATTGGGTCTCATATTCGTGGTTGTTTTTAATCTAGGTAATCAATTTATTCCTTTCAATATGTTCACACGATTTTTTCCTTTTTTTTCTGGAGTAGGCTTAGCTCTTTTTGGCGGTCTATCTCTTGCATCTCTAGAGAATTTTCGTTCAATCGTTTTTTCTTTTTCTCAAATCTGTGGTTTCTAAAAAACTGACTTATTTTTTACAGTTTAACTGGCGAAAACTTAACGCTTTTTATACAGAGGAAGCTGATCTAGGCCTATCCTTGTAGTCTAAATCGACAGACTAAGTGGCTACCCTGTAAATTTTAGAATAATTCGACTGACTTTAATGTATTTTCTAACTGTAAGTTTGAGTGTCTGTGTCTCAGCATTGCTGGATTGCGTGCAACCAATATACTCATGCAAAAAATCAGCACCAGACCAAGGTAGTCTGAAGAAGAAATATACTAATTACAGTATAGAGCACAGCCTTTTTGGTCTGGTCTGTAATTTTTTGGTTTTTGTCATTGAGTACAATTGAATCGTGATGTACTGGAGCGCCGATGAAGTCACTTTTTGAGGCTTTTTTGTCCATTACTCCTGAGACAAGTGTGTGGCGGCTAATATTGCCATATACGCAGGGTCCAAGCTCCGGGCTTGTCTCAGAAATTACCTATATATGTAGAATTTATTTCATAAAAACCGGGAGTTTTGTACATTTTTTAATATGTTATGCCTGTGCTCAACATAATTTTCGAAAATAGTTATCGATTTACAATAATAAATCCTGAAAACCACTCGCAGCCCGCGATTCTCCTATAAGCTGCAGTGTCATAGAATGCCATCAGGCTCACACTCTCTGGTGAACAAGGACCTCAGAATGGCCCATTCATGGATTGACTTCATTGGTGTTCCAGCACATTGCGACTATTGTATTCTATGGTTTTTGTTAGCTGTGAAATTTACTTTCATACCCTGATCAAGACATGACTTAAAAATTTTCATTTCAATTTAAACACCCCTAAAATTAAATTTGAGAATCAATATTGCACTTTTCTAGACTCGAACACGACCAGCTCTAAGGGCAAAAAATATTTTTGTTCTTAAAGACTGTACACAGTGCACTTTGCAAATGAATTGACATTCTGACAAAGTAACTTTATTCAACATCCCTGAAGAGGTAGTAGGAAGAATTTGTGGTGCATATTTCATCATCGGTTGTAGTTTCTAGAAAAACATGGCTTGATCCATCAATGGTTTCTACTCTTTACTGAGTCCTTAAATTTATTCCTGTAGTAAATTTTAGGGAGCATCCTTTTGTCTGAAAATCATCGAAGAATCATTAAAAGTTATTCTCACCTCTTATTAATGCCAAAAAAATATTATACTCAAGCGTAGCATGAAAATTTCGATATCCCGCAATTGTCAAAGAACTTATCACTCTCGTTTGTGCAATTAAACTTATAGTATTTTTGGTTCTCCACACGGCCCGAAACTTTGAAGAAATCTATAGATTTGAGGACTCTTGTCCTCGTTTTTGTATGTTTGGTGTAGTCGTTCACTCTAAATTAGTTCCCTTGACTCATGTGTCTGTGTTTGGTTGTTAGTGTAAGTCGTCCCCTCTCGACAGTGGCAATCCGTGAGATAGGATTTTGTACAATATTTATAATATCTTAGCACTAATTTGTTTTAGTTGTGTTTCATTTGTGTTCGTTTTTTAATTTACAGATTACAACAATGTTAAAAAGTGAACACCCACACTAGATGTTGCATTCTTTAACTTCAGGAGCTAGATGGGGAGGACCGAATGTTGAGAAATTTTTTCATTATATCTCTCATATTAGGGTCACTCTAATTACATTTGCTGTTATTGATGTGCTCTTCCATTCTATCTAGCCTCTGTTGGTAAAAAATGTGACAGTGTTAATCGGTACCATTTTGTATTTTATAATTTTTAAGAATCTGATGGTATTATCTTTTAAGTATCTTGGAGACAAAAGAATAGAAGTTAGTAGAGAAGAAATTTATCATTGTATCCCAGAGTTTTCTAAAGTGAGTGTATATAGAAATTGCTTTGAAGTTTTTCATAATCACTGTCAATGATTCTAAGGCCGCTTGAAGCTGAGAGAAGGAAATCATTTCAGAGTTATATTCGTGTGTTTCCTCTTGCACCTAGCCACGATATCCTACTTGTTATGAGTTTTCTGTGTCTACTCAAGTTTTTGTAAATGAAATGAATATGTATGGTGAAATCAATGAATAAAACATACTTGTTTAAAATTAGAGGTATCTTAAATTCGAGTTTTTTTCTTTAAAGTTTCTCGTAAGTGTTTCTCCTTTTTATTCATTTGGAGTGCTTTTTTCTGCAACGGCAAAAATATGGATTCGGCACATCACTCTTTCTCAAAAAAAGTGATCCAATCCATAATTTGAACACATATTTTCAGTTGAGGCATCAGTAAGTCTTAGAAACATACGTTTTAGAAAATGTGCCATGGCACTTACCTTCTTTCAATTCTGTTCACAATATAAAAATGAAGGTTACCTACGAGGAGATGGTAAAGGTCACATATCGACAGTGAAACTGCATAAATGCAAATCTCAGTTTGCAATGCTCAAGACTTATTGCCATAATTTATTTTTTGAACGGAAAAGAAAACTCAACAAAAAGTTCTTGATTTTTCACCTCAGTGTGAAGAATGCTCTTCAAAAATTCCAAGCAATGTTGTTAATTCCTTCCATTTGATACAGTATGAAGAGAGCGGAGAGTTTGAAACACTGCAAGCAAGGTGCACGTTTTTGCAGTTATACCTTTGATGTAAAGGAACCAATGTTAGTCATGAAATAAAAATGAGTGTGTAAATATAATTACAATAGTTATTTATATACTTGTAAAAAAGATCACAAAAATGCAACCTACATCATGAGAAGAATAGATAATCAAAAAAATTTCAAGTTACATATATACTCTGTACAAACACTTAGATAACAATGCCAGAATAAACAAAAAAGGAATTTATTTCAAAGAAGATAGTAGTACACTCTTGCTAGAGTTAATTTTCGAGTCTCATTTGGACTGCATTTAACAGAAAGGGACCAAGCCACATCAGCTACTGCCAAATTTAACCGGGTAATTTAATTTTTTACGAGAGAACGTTTGTGTGAACTCCTTTGAAATTTTTAAGGAATTTGCTTCGTACTATGGAGAAAATCCACTGAAATTTGCACAAGAATCCGCACAACTGTTTTCATGTAAAAAATTAAATTGCCCGGTTAAATTTGGCAATAGCTGATATGGCTTGGTTCCTTTCTGTTTAACGCGGTCCATTTGTAAAAAAGAAATCAAACTCTGTGAAAAACAAAAGAAAAAATGACTATTTGATTTTTAAATATTGGGTTTCAACTTGGGAGAAAAACCATACCTTCATGAAGCGTAACTGCTCTTTCAAAGGAGAAGAAAAAGAAACAGAAAATATAAAGATAACTGCAATATTTGCAATTGCAAATATTAAGGAACAAAATTAATATTCACAACTCTCGAATTGCTTTCTCTTAACAAGGAGGAAGCTTGAGCCTATTACAGAAACAACGAGAATACCTTGGAATATATAGGTATGATAGAAAGAAAGAGGCCTCAGTCTGCTTAAAGATAACTAGAGAAGGAGGAAGGATCAAAGGGGCGGGATTAAACTGAATCATCCTAACTACATTGATACCCTCTCCTGTTAAACTGCTTCATGAGAAAACAAAACAGATTTCTGCTTTGAAATTTTGAGGTTGCACATATTTTTAATTGGGCAGAGAAAATTCATGGCCAATCTCTAGACATTTTCCTGTGACCAAATAAAACCAGGGGGCTGATTGTTGAAATTTTGTGTGTCGGGCAGTCATAGATGACATAGATTAAATGGCAGAACATGATTGGTCGGCTATGTCTTATCGCTGCTTTGTCTTGCCTTTGCCAGGTGGAATGCACGACATGCTAAATGCACCTCTTGAGTTTCTAACAGTTTGTCATCCATTCCACCTGATGAAGCAGTGATGAGATGTAGCCGACCAATCACGTTCTGCCATTTAACCTATGTCATCTATGACAACCCAACAAACACAAAATGTCAATAATCAGCCTGCTGGAGGGGAAGTTAAGCAATGTGAAATGTAGTTAGGGTGATATGGTTTAAAAATAGACTACATTTTGCAATTAAGAACTACCATTTCTGGCTTAGTTTAGAAACAACGTATGTACCATTAGTTCCCTCATGCACGTACGTGTTTATTCGGATGAGCCAGAAATTAAAGTTCACAATTGCAAAATATAGTCCATTTGTCCAAATAAAAGGTTACATTGTGAAATCTGCGATGATAAATTCATGTATGAAAACTTCACACCCCTCTGTATTTAAGGAAGGAAAAAGGAGCAGATTCCATGGAAAATGAATCAAAAGAACCAGCTTTCTTCACAGAACTTATTTTGTCAATAGGAGGAAATGAGTTTGTTAAAGACATAGAAATATTGTGGACAATAATCTTCCAGTATATGAAAAGTGACTATCAAACCATGTCATAAACTAATTGTCCTAGAAATCTTGGAAATTAGATATCTTGGTTGTGATCTTAGATATTGATGAAATATTTTGGAGACATTTTTTCAGATTCTAGTTATAACATTCCACAAAAAACTAACTCCAGTTCATAAAAGAGCAGAGCTGAAATTGCGTTGGCCAATTCATGTACGGCTGAAAGATGCAGCTAGAATAGCGACTTAGATATTCAATTGCTAATTAACAGCTTGCACTGTTGAAGAACTAAGAATGGCTCAAGCAAGCTGTAAGAAAGCTCAAGTTGCGCAGTGATTAAGTTTGGAACAAAAACTTCCTGACCTTCAGTCAAATTTAGAGGACAGTTTTCGCAACTTGTGGCAGATTGGAGCCAACAAAATTTAGGCCTAGAAGCTTCATTTGTGGACATATCAGTTTCTGCTACTGACTGTGTGTATGAGCCACATATATCTTTATTAAAAAACATTTCCGTTACCAACATGTTAAATTAACCCATTTTAATAAAAAGAAACTCCTAGGTACTCTGGGTAGTATTTCATATTGAAATATTAAACAAAAAAACAACTCAGGTATTATCAAACGATGCCAGCTTATGAAAGGTATCAATTTGATAAGTAGACAATTGAATAATCTAATAATTGGGATCCTCTGGTCAAAAGCTCATTGTGTAAAATTTAGTTTCTTCAGTACGCTTCTGTAAAAATGCCGAGAGTTGTGAATGAGTAGGAAATTTTTTGGATGTCCCTAGTTCAATTCATCCTGAGTTTAAAACGCCCGCATAGACAACTCTATTGCTTACTCTACCAGTTCTTACAGGGCCGTCAAGATTTTTGACTGGAAACACTTTCCCTAAAACAGGAAATGTCTGAGAGGGCGGGGCTGCCAGCACACTGCTGATTTGGATTTTGTGAGATCGTTCCAGGTGGTCGTAGAACGCTGCCTTTGTTGGGCACTTTTTCATACATAGATCACACTGGTGCTGGGTGTTCCGGAAACATAGGTGATCTTTCATTTCATTGAACAATGAGAACACGCATTTACAGGAATCACACTTGAACTTCATGCCTTCCTTCGACCTAATGGCATCTTCTATGTTCATGTAATCATCACTGCTGTCACTGTCACTATTGCAGAGGCCATCTACTAGGTGCTCTGTAGGTAGACTAGCTTGTGGCAAGGGCTGTTTCTTCGCCCGTTTGCGCTTTGTGGCTTTTGACTCATTATCCATCTCGACATGGGAAAAATTGTTATTGCTTGTGGTATCAGTGCGACGCATTATGCACTTTTTCAAGTGATTTTTGTAGAACTGGTGGGACAGGAAGCTTAGATTACAATGATGGCACTTAAATTTATCGCATAGGATGTCAGAGATCACTCCTTTTGACCGTGACGGCTCGCCATTGAAAACTTCTTCTGCAGTAGCGCCAGTGAGGAAATGCCCGGAAATGAGCTGGTCTGTCAGCATCGAGTAATTCATATATAAGTTGTTGTCATCATCTTCAGGCACTCCATCTTTTTCACCTGTCACAATGATCACCTCTTGAGTTTGTGTTTGCAGTTGTGCTTCCTCCTGTAACTGAGAAAACGATTATTGATAGAAAGGAGTTGATCAATTTAACTATATTGTGCAAAAATGAAGAAACTTTTCTCGCTGATTGATAAAAGTATCTATTTAAGTACGTAGGAAAATTAATGGCACTTATGTTGTCCCTATATTGAGTCAAGATAGTTTCTTGCTTTTGGCCCTATGCATTCCACTTCAGACAAATACTTAGACTGAGCATAGAATAATACCTGATCAAAAAGGTAACTTCACTTTTATCTTGTAACATTATGTAGGGTCACTTTTTTAAGCGAACTCCGCAAGGAATTTGAGACAGTAAGGAGGACAAGAGCCACTGGGTAGAAACAGAGGAAACTTGCAACTATTTTGACGGAAAAACTTGGTGCTGTAGACCAAAAAAAGGCAGGAGGGATTTCTAACATGGGAACAAAGATGGTTTTTCAGTGCTCTTATGGTGCGTATTATTCTAGGGACTGAATATTGACCACACTGCATTAGGTTCAGTGAAAGATACTGTTACTTGAATTGATTAAAGACTGATTAGTAGGGGAAGATGGATTAGACAAGGGTTGATCTTTACAGCCAGTAATTCATTCTTAGATGAATAATCAGCTGAATCAAAGTTGTCTATCGTCTAGGCAATTCAAATCAGGCACAGTAAATACAAAAAAGGTAATTTTTGGGCACACAGAGAACTGTTGCTTCTGATTTAAGTGAAGACCTGCTACTTCAAAACTGAATACCCAGCTGTATTATCTCCATCGGGTCCACTTAGTCTGCCCTGATAGCCATCTTTTGCACTCTGTCTCTTGGCTCGAAAAAATTTACCCAATATTTGCAAAATCCTTCTTCATTTCCGTGGATTGAGATTTAGCTTATAATCCTAATGAAAATATATATAATTATTATAAGAGAGTATATTACTAAGTTATGGTACCATGAAATTCACAAATTTATTCAGAGCTTTACAAAAACGAATAACAAAAGAAGCTCTGTGATACAATAACTTGCGGAAATACCATTTTAAAATTAAACGTAATTTCCATCAATATTGCAAGCTGAATCAAAATTTGTGGGAAAAAAAGATTTCCCAAACGTCATAAAAATTGGTTAGCAAATCTAATCGCTTGTAGGAGTGATAGGACGGCTTGGGACTCTCCATATCCAAGAATGGATCTGAGAGGTATACGTGGAAAGACTGAAGAATATAAAGGGGGGGGAGGGGGGCGAGAGAGCCAGTCTCGGATCTTGTGCACTCTTGATGTGTCACCTGGAGGGGTTAGGCTCAGGTCATGGTCTCTCATCAGGGAGATGGGATGGGCCATGCTCTGGGTTTGCAAAGCAGAGCATAACTGTTTCTTCATTGAATTGTTGAGTTTTGATGATGGGAACCAAAAACATGTTGTCTGAAAATTCTCCTTCTTCCTTATCTATCTCTTCCTGAGTTCAACTTGATGCAGGTTGATTGAAAAAGTTGTTGAACCTGATCCAAATGAAGGAAAGCTAACAAGAACTTACCCTTGTATCAAGTTCGACGGATTCTTGGAGAATAACAGAACCTGATTCGACAGGAGAATTCTGTGCGTTCCATTCTAATTTGAGAAAATTTCCAGGTGGCATATCTGAAGGATCGATACTTTCCTGGAAAAAGTAAAATAAAATCTGAAAAATCAGCTCAGATGTAATTATCTTAAATCTGTTCAAAAATTTGTAAACTTTTTCATAATAAATGAACTGAGGCAAGACTCTCCAAAAAACTAAGTAAAAAAACTTAGAGAAAATTGAGACCGGCCATCATGGAAAATTCCCCACCCAGGAAAAATATCAAAAGTAAATAAGTACTTACCAAGAGAAGAATTTCAAAAATCACTGTGTTTTTCTAATTTTTCTTTCATTCCTCCCAAACAGAAAGAGAAAACAACTAAAATTTTCCATTTAATAATTCCCTCTGAAGCTCACACATTGTTTCAGGCCATGCATGATGACTTTCTGTACATCTGGTTTGGGTATTCACTCTTATGAAATTTATTAGTAAAAACTACCTGCAAAAATGAAGTGGGATTTCCACCGTCATTTTCTTTCCTTGTGCTACCATTGGAAGGCTCCTCTGGATTTAGTAATGCAATTTTCCTCCTTCGAATGCTCATGGTATCAATTCAAAGTGCATGCTCAGCAGAAATTTTCCTGTAAACACAAACCCAGAGCTCACTTGAAAGAAATTTCAGAAAAAGTAAAAAATTAACAAGCTACCTGAATGTGATTTTTAACAGACTTTTGGGGAGCGGACTCCAAAAATACAGATATCGACAGTGAAACTACCAGATCACGTATCTCGGTTTGCCACATTGTAAACTTCCTATCATACTTCATTTTTAAAATGAAAAACTAATTAATGAGAGCTCTTGAAATCTTCCGTGATTCTTTTTCTCTGCACCAAGAAAACTCTGTGAAAATTTCCAGGAATGATATTTATTTGTTTTCATTTAAAAAAAAATAAAATAGGAGGGGAGATTTTGAAACACAGCAAACGAGATACATGGTCTGGTAGTTTCACCATCGATAAGTTGAATACTTATAGAGAATGTGATCGTAAAAGGACTCTTGTCACTCACTAGGTTGCAAAACAACAGTTTGATTGATCCAATTGATACAATGATTCTTCAAATATCCAGTTACTAATTATAATTAAACCAAAAAACTAAGGTATTAAATGAAGTTTTGAGGGTTTCAAAAGTGAAGTGCACTTTCGGGAGGTGCTTGATGCAACTTTACATTTAAGTGGAGGATGGTTGCTTTGCACTAATGACTTACTTGCATTCATTGCTTGGAAGTTCAGAACAAGGTCTTGAGCTTGTGCTTTAATAAGTAGGGTAGGATGGGGTTAGTACGCCACATTTTTGTTTCATGATTTTCCTTAATTTTCTAATTGATAAATGGACGGAGTTAAACAGAAAGGAACCAAGCCACATCGGGATCGAACCGAGAAAAAGAGGTTCAAAGTTTGGCTCCTGCATAAGACTCAATGTAAAAGATGAACTTCAAGTTCAATTTCTGCAAAATTTGCTCCGACAAAAACTTAGAATTTTTGGCGATAGATAATGGAGCAGTGCACGAGTTCAAAACCACTCATAACTCAATTTTTTCCAAAATGCGGGTTGGTTCCATTCTGCTTAACTCAGTCCAAATGAACTTTGTTGAATCTTATAAGTGATCTGAGGGTCTCAACTATGTTCAGAAAAAAAATTGGACACTTTGATACTAATTTCCTACTCATGTTGAATTTTTTGAAAAAACAATTGGCAGAATAACCCCACTCGTAGGGTCAGCCCGCCAGTTGCAAATAAAGACATGAAAGGTGCTTGAAAAAAACCCAATTTGATTGAGAAAAATGAAAAAAAAACAAATATATCTTGAGTCAGAACGAAAGTTGGTACCAAAAATTCTATGACTACAGAAACTAAGTAAACGTTTATTTTAATGGTCCAATAAATTTTATAAGCTTTTGAAAATTTATTTTTCTTCAAAAAACAATTTAAAAACCCAAAGAAAGTTGGTGAGTTCAAAAATGACCTACTTGCATGTAAACATAGCGTACTTAAATAGTTTTGTGTTACTTATAAACGTATTTCTATCAAACAAAACTATGTGCATTATGGCGTGAGCCCTGTTATGCATGTTCTAATGCATCTCAGGGCTCATGTCTTATTGCACATAGTTCCATTTGACAGATATACATCCATATGTAAGTTATATCGTCTTATGAAAATTACATGCAAGTGCCACTGACGGAATGACCCCCAGCCGGACCAGTGGTCCAACCCCCTCGCTACTATGCTGCAAAAACATGTCTCTCTCCTGCAGTAGAGGAGAGTAAGTAACACCTGACAGCAGTTCGCCTGAAGGTTGTCGAGCTGATCCCCCTGAAGTACCTCTTGCAGGTCCGCCGTAGAAAAATGGAAAGGACCAAAACAGGCAGTAGAATAAACCTGCCATGTTTAAAACACCTAAGTTTTTATTTACTGTCATTCTGAAAGTGCTATATAGGTAGAAGGTAAAATAATGCTATGATTAATTGCTACTTGGATCTGAGTAGAGTCGTCACTCTAATGCGTTATTAATACAGCATCCAAGATGATAAAAAGAAGAATGAGCTTGCAGTGACAAGTGATAAAGTTAAAGGGCAATTTAATCTCTCAAGACATTAAGTAGAACAAAGGAATCAAGCTTGGTGTAGGGCATCTGTATAGGTAACGATAGAGTACTCTAGTTAACGATTGCGGTGATAAGAATTAGGCGTCTACTGATAAGACAATTTTATTTACCTCAACAATCCCCCCCTCCCCCCGATGATTAAGGACCAACTGAGGAATGTAATTGTAGTAAGGGCCAAATGCATTAATTTAAATAAGAGATGATAACAGACTTTCGGGGCGAAAACGAAAAGAGAGGAAAAAAGAAAGTTGGACACCAGACAACCTGTTCTCCCGTAGTCAGCTAGAGAAACTATTCAGACAACAAATGATGGAGTTGAGAAAAACATAGGAGATAGATACTTTGTCATAGTGGTTGAATCGGGTTGATGGATAGTGATCATGTTAAGGCGTGCCAAAATTAGTAAGATATTGGCGTAAAATTTCAGAAAATACTTACAGGCGAAATGTTTGAGATGTGTACATTTTCAATGAACTTGAATGATGAAAGCTGGTCAATAGGTCGAAAAGTATATTATACATGCAGCAAGAAAACTGATGGGCTAACACTTTTGAAGAAATATAAAGAGGCAAAAGAGGGAGAAGCGAATCCGTAGCAAACTGAGAAAAGCCAGAGAAAAGTCGATAAATACCACAGAAATGATATGTAATTATCAATCACAACAAAAATATTGGGGGTTTGTCTCGGCTCTGTGCGCGATGACGTCGATGACGTACTGCTGCTGAACTTTCACACCCGCCGCCATAGCAAATCTGACGTCACGCACATGCACTCCTAAGTCCTACCGTTTGTCATTGTCAAAGATGTGAGATGTATGCATAGTTGTATCTGGCTAAATTGAAGGCGCTTCGTAATCGTTGAGTTTCATTTTACCTGGCTCCGGCGCCCGTCAACGCGACTTCAGTAGTATGACGTTTAAAGAGATGATGTCGATGGTGTAAGTGCAGACGTCTACAGTATTTTCCGGGAGTTTCCACTCCGCTTACGTCGGAGACACTTAGGTCAGTGACAGAGGCACTTGCCTTTGGAACAGACCCAGAACTGACGTAGCAGATCAGCGCCCGGCAGCAACTGAAACCAGTGTTTAGGTCTGTTTCAAAGACAAGTGCTACTGATCTGAGCACTTGCCATTTTTACCAGGGTTGCATTTGAATGAAATGTACCTGAAAATTTCGAGGAAAAATGATTATAACTAATATCTAGGTTGATAGGATCACAATTTTCAGGTTTTAAAAATTTACTTAATCAGCGGAGAGAGGGAGGAGGGATGCGATTCAAATGGCATAACTACAGCCCTCTGAAGATTTTCAAGGAAAATATTCAGAAGTTTTCTAGACAAATTACGTTTTCGCAAGAAATTACTCTTTCAACCAAATCTGAAAGTGCCTCCTACTCTCTTTTTTTGTACCAAAACAATAGGGACCAATGGAAATTCTGCTAATGAGACTAGAATAATGCCCGCTACAGGGTGCGAGAGAGACAGAAAACAGCCAGAGAGCCCGTTAATGTGTGCGAGAGAGACAGAAAACAGCAAGGGGGCCCTCTAATGTGTGCGAGAGCGAAAGAAAACAGCCAGAGAGTCCGCTAATGTGTGCGATAGAGACAGAAAACAGCCAGGCAGCCCGAAAGGGTGTGCGACAGAGATAGAAAATCGCCAAGGAGCAAGCTTATGTGTGCGAGGGAACGCGATGCTGCTTGGACGGAAAAACCACCCAAGTCCCGCCTGGCTATTTGCTGTCTCTCTCGCACTTATACTCTTCCTACCTGGGCAATTTTCTGTCTCTCTCGCACACTTTAGCGAGACGCCTGGCTATTTTCTGTCTCTCTCGCACACAATCGCGTCGTGCAAGGCGATTTTCTATCTCTCTCGCACTTATACGCTTGCTACCTGGGCGATTTTCTGTCTCTCTCGCACTGGGTGCCCTGGCACGGGGCATCCGAGGGTGCAACCACTCGCCCAGGTAGCAAGCGTATAAGTGCGAGAGAGATAAAAAATCGCCTTGCACGACGCGATTGTGTGCGAGAGAGACAGAAAATAGCCAGGCGGCTCGCTAAAGTGTGCGAGAGAGACAGAAAATCGCCCAGGTAGGAAGCGTATAAGTGCGAGAGAGACAGCAAATAGCCAGGCGGGACTTGGGTGGTTTTTCCGTCAAAGCAGCATCGCGTTCCCCCGCGACCCTCCGAGAGTGGTTGCACCCTCGGTTGCCCCGTGCCAGGGCACCCAGTGCGAGAGAGACAGAAAATCGCCCAGGTAGAGAGCGTAAAAGTGCGAGAGGGATAGAAAATCGCCATGCAAGACGCAATTGTGTGCGAGAGAGACAGAAAATAGCCAGGCGGCTCGCTAAAGTGTGCGAGAGAGACAGAAAATCGCCCATGTAGGAAGCGCATAAGTGCGATAGAGACAGCAAATAGCCAGGCGGGACTTGGTTGGTTTTTCCGTCAAAGCAGCATCGCGTTCCCCCGCGACCCTCCGAGAGTGGTTGCACCCTCGGTTGCCCCGTGCCAGGGCACCCAGTGCGAGAGAGACGAAAAATCGCCCAGGTAGCAAGCGTATAAGTGCGAGAGAGATAGAAAATCGCCTTGCACGACGCGATTGTGTGCGAGAGAGACAGAAAATAGCCAGGCGGCTCGCTAAAGTGTGCGAGAGAGACAGAAAATCGCCCAGGTAGAAAGCGCATAAGTGCGAGAGAGACAGCAAATAGCCAGGCGGGACTTGCGTGGTTTTTCCGTCAAAGCAGCATCGCGTTCCCCCGCGACCCTCCGAGAGTGGTTGCACCCTCGGTTGCCCCGTGCCAGGGCATCCAGTGCGAGAGAGACGGAAAATCGCCCAGGTAGCAAGCGTATTAGTGCGAGAGAGATAGAAAATCGCCTTGCACGACGCGATTGTGTGCGAGAGAGACAAAAAATAGCCAGGCGGCTCGCTAATGTGTGCGAGAGAGACAGAAAATCGCCCAGGTAGGATGCGTATAAGTGCGAGAGAGACAGTAAATAGCCACGCGGGACTTGGGTGGTTTTTCCGTCAAAGCAGCATCGCGTTCCCCCGCGACCCTCCGAGAGTAGTTGCACCCTCGGTTGCCCCGTGCCAGGGCACCCAGTGCGAGAGAGACAGAAAATCGCCCAGGTAGCAAGCGTAAAAATGCGAGAGAGATAGAAAATCGCCTTGCACGACGCGATTGTGTGCGAGAGAGACAGAAAATAGCCAGGCGGCTCGCTAAAGTGTGCGAGAGAGAGAGAAAATCGCCCAGGTAGGAAGCGCATAAGTGCGAGAGAGACAGCAAATAGCCAGGCGGGACTTGGTTGGTTTTTCCGTCAAAGCAGCATCGCGTTCCCCCGCGACCCTCCGAGAGTGGTTGCACCCTCGGTTGCCCCGTGCCAGGGCACCCAGTGCGAGAGAGACGGAAAATCGCCCAGGTAGAGAGCGTATAAGTGCGAGAGAGATAGAAAATCGCCTTGCACGACGCGATTGTGTGCGAGAGAGACAGAAAATAGCCAGGCGGCTCGCTAAAGTGTGCGAGAGAGACAGAAAATCACCCAGGTAGGAAGCGCATAAGTGCGAGAGAGACAGCAAATAGCCAGGCGGGACTTGGGTGGTTTTTCCGCCAAAGCAGCATCGCGTTGCCCCGCGACCCTTCGAGAGTGGTTGCACCCTTGGATGCGCCGTTTTTAGTGCGAGCGAGATAGAAAATCGCCCAGGTAGGAAGCCTATAAGTGCAAGAGAGACAGAAAATAGCCAGGCGGCTCGCTAAAGTGTGCGAGAGAGACAGAAAATCGCCCGGGTAGGAAGCCTATAAGTGCGAGAGAGACAGAAAATCGCCGAGGTAGCAAGCGTATAAGTGCGAGAGGGATAGAAAATCGCCCAGAAAGGAAGCCTATAAGTGCGAGAGAGACAGAAAATAGCCGGGCGGCTCGCTAAAGTGTGCGAGAGAGACAGAAAATTGCCCAGGTAGGAAGCCTATAAGTGCGAGAGAGACAGCAAATAGCCAGGCGGGACTTGAGTGGTTTTTCCGCCAAAGCAGCATCGCGTTCCCCCGCGACCCTTCGAGAGTGGTTGCACCCTCGGTTGCCCCGTTTCCAGTGCGAGAGAGACAGAAAATCGCCGAGGTAGCATGCGTATAAGGGCGAGAGAGATAGAAAATCGCCCAGGTACGAAGCCTATAAGTGCGAGAGAGACAGAAAATAGCCAGGCGGCTCGCGAAAGTGTGCGAGAGAGACAGAAAATCGCCCAGGTAGGAAGCCTATAAGTGCGACAGAGACAGAAAATAGCCAGGCGGCTCGCTAAAGTGTGTGAGAGAGACAGAAAGTCGCCCAGGTAGGAAGCCTATAAGTGCGAGAGAGACAGCAAATAGCCAGGCGGGACTTGGGTGGTTTTTCCGCCAAAGCTGCATCGCGTTCCCCCGCGACCCTCCGAGAGTGGTTGCACCCTCGGTTGCCCCGTTTCCAGTGCGAGAGAGACAGAAAATCGCCGAGTTAGCAAGCGTACAAGTGCGAGAGAGATAGAAAATCGCCCAGGTAGGAAGCCTATAAGTGCGAGAGAGACAGAAAATAGCCAGGCGGCTCGCTAAAGTGTGCGAGAGAGACAGAAAATATCCTAGGTAGGAAGCCTATAAGTGCGAGAGAGACAGAAAATAGCCAGGCGGCTCGCGAAAGTGTGCGAGAGAGACAGAAAATAGCCCAGGTAGGAAGCCTATAAGTGCGAGAGGAACAGCAAATAGCCAGGCGGGACTTGGGTGGTTTTTCCGCCAAAGCAGCATCGCGTTCCCCCGCGACCCTCCAAGAGTGGTTGCACCCTCGGTTGCCCCGTTTCCGGTGCGAGAGGGACAGAAAATCGCCGAGGTAGCAAGCGTATATGTGCGAGAGAGATAGAAAATCGCCCAGGTAGGAAGCCTATAAGTGCGAGAGAGACAGAAAATAGCCAGGCGGCTCGCTAAAGTGTGCGAGAGAGACAGAAAATCGCCCGGGTAGGAAGCCTATAAGTGCGAGAGGGACAGCCAATAGCCAGGCGGGACTTGGGTGGTTTTTCCGCCAAAGCAGCATCGCGTTCGCCCGCGACCCTCCGAAAGTGGTTGCACCCTCGGTTGCCCCGTTTCCAGTGCGAGAGAGACAGAAAATCGCCGAGGTAGTAAACGTATAAGTGCGAAGGGAGATAGAAAATCGCCCAGGTAGGAAGCCTATAAGTGCGAGAGAGACAGAAAATAGCCAGACGGCTCGCTGAAGTGTGCGAGAGAGACAGAAAATATCCTAGGTAGGAAGCCTGTAAGTGCGAGAGAGACAGCAAATAGCCAGGCGGCTTGCTAAAGTGTGCGAGAGAGACAGAAAATCACCCAGGTAGGAAGCCTATAAGTGCGAGAGAGACAGAAAATAGCCAGGCGGCTCGCTAAAGTGTGCGAGAGAGACAGAAAATTGCTCAGGTAGGACGCCTATAAGTGCGAGAGAGACAGCAAATAGCCAGGCGGGACTTGAGTGGTTTTTCCGCAAAAGCAGCATCGTGTTCCCCCGCGACCCTCCGAGAGTGGTTGCACCCTCGGTTGCGCCGTTTTTAGTGCGAGAGCGATAGAAAATCGCCCAGATAGGAAGCCTATAAGTGCAAGAGAGACAGAAAATAGCCAGGCGGCTCGCTAAAGTGTGCGAGAGAGACAGAAAATCGCCCAGGTAGGAAGCCTATAAGTGCGAGAGAGACAGAAAATAGCCAGGCGGCTCGCTAAAGTGTGCGAGAGAGA